GCGTCAGGTGGAGTAGCTCGCCCTGCTGGACTGGCGGAATCTCCCATCTCTGATCCCCAGTGTTCCAGGAAGCGGAAAGCGATCTCGTGGGGATTTGATGAGACAGTCCCACTCGTTGTAATTACCTCCTCGATCGAAACCCGGCGCAAGCTTGTATCCAGCGGACGGAAGAAGTGCTTGGTTGGTTTCTCAGAATCGGCTGCTTGGAAGTCGAAAGCAGTGTCCTGGTTGTACTGGCTCGTCTGGGTGACTGCCTCTCGATAATTCCGCATTGCTTCATCGAAGTGTTCCCGGGACGAGTCACTGGAGACGTCACGATAACGCGCAGCCAGATCAAGATGGATCCGAGCCGCATCGATAGCGTGAGTGTCTTGTTGCCGGAGCTTCTTCTGCACTGCTTGCAGCTGGGACTTTATGCTTGCTTTCCACTTCTCCCAGACCTTGCCAGGGTTGGACGCAATGCGCAGCACATCTCGAATCGCTTCTGCCTCCCGCTCGATGGCTGACACCACCACTGGATATCCCTCCAATATCCACGACCATGCAGCTGAGTGCCAGACCGAAAAGTCACACTGTGAGCTAGGTGGTCGCCAGCATGTTGTGGCACAAAGTACTTGGAGTCATGATAAAAGCGATCGAAGAAAGGCTTGGACAACAGGATGTAGTCGAGCCGGTTCATCCGGGGAAGGGGACCAGTGAATACCCGCTTGGTATCGTAGTGGATCCGCCATGCGTTAACAACACTTAGTCGTGACAGCCACTCAAGACAGCTGGAACGACCCGGACTGTAGCGCAAGTCAGGACTGGAAGAGTCGAGTCGTGGATCTAGGGGAGTGTTCAGGTCGCCGAAAACGAAGTGTGTAGCACGTTCATCGAACCCTGCGGTGATCAAGCTGGAGAAGAATTGTTGATTTTCCTGTTGGTCGACAGGCGCATATACATTGTGCACGAAGATGGGAGCCCTTTCGACCTTCAATGTTACGACCAGATAACGCCTGGAGACGGAGATACCGGGGACGGCGACAGCCGAATTAAAGCCTGGGAAGTCAGAGCGGAGTACTGTAAGGACTCCATTGCTCCGCCCTCTCATCGGCCGATGGAGCTGGGAGTTGGGGTCGTCTACGAAGACCTTGTGCTCGAAGCATGAGTTGAGGTGGAGCTGAAAAGTAGAGAGTTGCGCGCTGTCACCGAATTTGGTCTCTTGGACACACGACAGTGAGTATTTGGAAAGCATGTTTTTCGATGAAGAGATGCCCGTTTTGTTTGATTCCATTAGTGTTCACAGAAAGAACACTGATATTGCTCCAAGATGTTGAGGGTGAGGAGACCTTAGCAACGAGTGGCCAAACCACCTGCTATCAGCAAAACATCCCCGTCCCCAACCTGAAGCTGTAACACCGAAGAGTCAGCCGGGTAGAATCCGTAAGCTCTCGAAGTTTTTCCAGATCGTCGAGCAGAGGTCCCTGCCACTGGACCTCCCTCCATTGCTGCATGCAGTGAGCACCAAGCTCGGACCGCAGCAGACGAAGGAGGGTATTAGGGTGATGTAGCCGCGTGTGATGCGTCGGAATCCACTCGACTGGGCGACCCGTGATATACTGGATCCAGTGATCGTTGGAGAAGATCGTTGGTGCGATGGACATCAGCATGAGCTCAAACAACCCTAAAGCTTTCGTCGCACGGGACAGTTCTGTGATCTCAAACGACGATGTCCACCAGGCAGCGCACGTCATGAAGATATCGTCGCGCTTTGAAGGGACTGGCATTTTCATGAGTTTTTTTCACTTCGTACTAAATGTGGTGTCGTGATTTGGTCGAGACGCACCCATCACGCGGTTGATAACGTGCAGCTGGGCGACTTCAGCGATCTCCGTGCCATGGCCGACCAATTTTAGTGACAGAGCACTGTTAAAGGCGAGAGGAGAAGCAGTCGCCGACTTCGTGATGTGGTCAGGATTAGTAGCGTGTTCAAGGAGCTGGCGCACTCCGTCAACCTGTGTGTCTGCAGACACAAGACAGTCAGGGAGAATGTTGAGAAGTGCCGTATTCTCGTCGTTTAGCATCGACTCAGCCACTTCAAGGACCGAAAAGGCTTTGGCCGCTCTCTTGATCGTGGTGTGATGCTTTTCCACGAAAAACGAAGACTCGGTCGAAGTCCTCAGAACGTCGGGGCGCTTCACATCCACAGGCAGCACTTGATGGCGGACTCCAAACTGCCTGTCAGTAGTCAAGTCACGCACTTCGAACTTGGCCTCCATCGTCTGCAGGGCGAGGAAGTAATTTGAGGTGGCAATGCCGTCAAGCGGCTGTGGGGATTGCTTGACCAACATGTTGGAGAAGTCAATCGCGTTGCAACCGCGTTTTTTTCTATTGGGAGGAGAGACGAAGCCGTCACTCGAGCCGTTGGTTAGCAAGAGCACGGGCTTACTCTTGGCTTGAGGACTCCCAGGAGGAGAGATCTTGCCAGTAGATCCGCTAAGAGTCGAGATCGACAATGCAGCCGAAGTATTTTTTTTTATTTTTCTTTGCTTGGTAACGTCACGAGCTGATTGGCACTGGCTAGCGTGTCATGCTGAGCTCCTTGCTGGAGCTGGCAGTCCCGTTTCATTGCTGCCGCAATCGCCCTCTGGAGAGAGGTTTGCTTGGGTATCGCCGTTGGTCGCGCCGGTGCAGCACCAGCTACAGCTTGCGCGTACGTCCGGGCTCTCGGTTGGTGTTGATGCTGAGTCGGCTCATGTACAGGTGCAGACAGCGGGAAAACGCCATCAGCCGTACCGTGGTGCGAGCGAAAGCCATACGGCAGGCGCTCAGACTGGAACGGAGCGTTCTTTCCATGTGCCGGGTGCAGCTTGTTTTCAAACAACACCTGGCCACAGACACTGCCGTTCACTATCAACGCACTTGGACAGGAACTTGATAAGAAGTATACGCGCCAAGTCGCCGACGTGATACCAGTCGCGAGGTTCACTTCGCGAAAGGTGTCATACACAGGCTTGCATCCAAGTAGGAACAAACGCTGCAAGATCAAAGCAGTGTCCGTGTCCGAGTTGACATTGGAGATGTCGATGAAGTACTTGTCGCCAAGGATGTCGAACTCCTTAAACAAGTAGGCACCACCGAGGATATTTACCTTCGTCCGTTCGAGTTGCAGACAAGCTTCCATCGACTCCACCTTCACTCTAAGATTGCCACCGGGAAGCTTTGAGATCTGGCCTATCTCGTAGCGCCGGTAGAGCTCTTCAAGAAATTCATTGCCATGAGTTGTTCCCGAAAGCGAAGACATATCTTCTGGAGCGGCGTCTTCACAAACGTCCGTCCAGTCTCGATCACCATGTCGTACTTGGCGCGAGGAAGAACATACGGCCGAGCTTGATCCATCCGTGACGCGATGAACGTCCAATCGCCACCAGCGGCGTACTGGCGCTCGATCCATTCGATGTCGCAAGCGAGTGGCTTCGGGGTCTCCACTCGACGTCGCACAGCATCGTTATCAGCACGATTGCGACGGAGGTGGTCGTGTTGGGACAGCACGTCAGCCATAGTCGGTTGTTTATCCGCAGGTGTCGACGCGGCGGCGTCAGGTGGTGGCACCGAGGACTCCATGGACTCGTCCACGGGATGGTGCAGGGCACGCTCAGCCACCATCAAATCAACCGCAGGGTCGTCAGAACCGATCGTCACAGGAGCAGACGGAACGGATGGCTCAGCTGGAGATGACGACGAGGATGCGTCAGGTATAGGCGTCAGCATGCCGCCAGAGAGAGGTCCAGACCTCTCCAAATGTTCAGATGATAATGGGTTGACACTGAAACCAGCAGGAATAATGGGATGAGCAACAGTTGCGACAGGTCCCAGCTGCTTCAAGAGAGGCGGTGAGGCGGAGTCAGGCTGTTCCATGAGTAAATGGGGAGCAAAATCGAGGATGGGAGGGGTCGGGTTGGGTTGTTCTTAAAGTTCAGTTGTATGTTAGCGAGAAAATTGAGAAGTGTGTGCAGATTGGCTCAGTTGTTTGGGAACGAGGTTTCCATGGTGCGGGTTTAAACCCCGCCGTAGTCAAAGTTAATTGGGGCTGACACCTACGACCTGGTGTTCGGGGTTCATCAGAGTCTTGACCTACCCGAGGCTACGTCCCCCGTCCCACGCAATCACCTTTTGTTCTGCATAGGCTATAGTGGAGTTCTTACCATAGGTATTTACAGGGAGTAATTACCTGTGGTACAGACAGGGCAACAAATCGGTGGCTGAGAGTCACCGGCTTCTTATGGCCATTCGTTTTGAGATAACAAACTATTCAAAATACAACTTACTTTTCGGTTTTCATCCCCAGCCGTAAGCCATCTTCAAGTAAACGACAATTCCATAACCTACGTAAATCAATAGTCATCACATCCGGTATACTATCTTTATCTTCCCTGTAACGGGGTTACACGACAGTGTGTATTTTACATACACACCTGCCACACCAATATGGTGTGGCTGTACCTTGGGTACAAAAGTAGGTGATGTGACCGTACCTGAAGTACGAAGGGTCACATCGTGGCAGAGAGCCACGTGGTCACTATACTTATTTAAAGTATAGTGGCTATGCATATTTGCATAATAATAAAAGGCTAAAGAGCCAGTAATAGTGACTAGCACTAGTAGGTGCTTCTATATTTAGTGTTAGAAGATAAACATAAATATAAATCAGTTTCAAACCTGCTCTGTAAGCATCACTGCTTGAGCGCTCCTCCTGAGGAATTAAGTATCTTTGATACTAGTCTCTTTGAGACGCGGTTGTTAATACCGACAGGCACAAGCTTACGAGCTAGCCTAGGAGGGTTAAACACCCTAAGACGTAGAAGCTCTCTGAGCTTGTCTTCCTCTGCACGTAGTTCGTACGTATCTTTGCTACAGTAGTTTGACTACTTCTTCTGCACATAGTGCATAAGCAGCGTAGCTACAGTAGCTCGTCTTCATTCCCCCCTGATCGATGCTGAATATATCTGTAAGAGCATCGTTCAGTAAGGACGCTGTAACGCCAGTCGCGTTTGGTGATCATCCATACCCTCCGTATCCGAAGCATTACCAGGATCCTCCGACGAAAATATTGGAGCTTCTCGTGGATCGTGGCGCCGGTAGCGGTCACCATAAAGGATTGATTCATCGATCTGCACATCCGGTGACCACTTTCGTGTGTTCTCTGCCGGACTGAAAACCTTATAACCAACGTTGTCTTCCTTTAAACCAAGGAAAACGCAGCCTTGCGTTGTCTGCGTGTCGTGGCCGATCTGGATCCTTCGGCACATGCACATAGCGAGGGAACCAAATTTACAAATGTGGTGAAAATCCGGCTTTGTGCCAAATAGCTTTTCAAATGGCATGCATCCCACACTCCTGTTGCAATTATGCTCATCAAATACACAGCGTCCTCAATTGCATCTGGCCAAGATGATTTTGGTAGAGCTGCTTGTCGTAGCATTGTCTTCGCCATCTCACCTAGTGACTAATGCTGACGCTCCACTGGATTCATATGCGAACATTTAGGTCCGTCTTTTATGTGCTCAATACCATACGATTGATACCATAAATCAATGTCCGCATTCACAAATTTGCCTCCCTTGTCGGTCAGAAACTTGTGAACCGGGAGGGTTGGTGTGCCTTCCGTTGGTTCCCATCGACTCACAATGATCTTCTTGATAGATCGTCCTGCCTGCCGTTCTGCCCAGCTGACATAAGCCTTCATCAGTGGATTCAACGTTGCCGCCTTCTTTTGCGTTAAAAGTTTCGTCGTAAGATATCTTCGAGAAACCGTCCATTATCACGAGTATTGCAGTAAAACGAGTATTGTTGTGCTTGGCTGGAAACACCTAATCCGCGTACACGACTTGATTCGGTGCAGAGATCTTACAATCTGTCTTTTCTGGCGCTATCAGCGACGCTGTTTGCCAACATGACATGCGTCACATCTCGTCTTCTGCGTGCGGTCACAACCATACCATCGACATGCTCTTGATCAGCCATAATCTTGAGGTACTGGTCACACGTGTGCTCCAATCTCTGATGCCAGAGCTTCATAGATGCCTGTCGATCGGCCGTTGAGTAGTCAGCCAACCCGGGCCTCTCCGATTGCTTCATGACTGCACCAGCGTTTCTATCGTATCCAAGTCTTCTTGATGAAGTAAGGCCCCACATTCCATCGTGGAACGTAGCTTTCACTAGCGCAGATCCTCAACGCGATATTACAAGCTTCGTGTTCAATGATAATTCAACGGCCAGGCCGTGCTCGATCGCTTTACCAGGCAAGAACAAATCATGTATTGCATCCGGTACGTGAAGCACATATCCTTAGAGAAAGTGATGGTCTTCATCATCGACCTTCGAACCTATGAGTATTGTACCGATGCCCACCACTGTAGAATATGACCCCGAAGAAATCCCACTTACTTGAAAGTTCACAGGAGCACCATCATACGTCACAAAATCCTCACGGACACTTGAAACGTGTACGTTCGCTCCAATATTAAAGCACCAATAATAGTTATCCGATGGTACGGTCTCACATTCATTTGATGGCTCGTCTCTCTGGGTATGAGTCTTTCCAGCAACATTTGTCGGCGAATCCACTGAAGACTCTACCACTACATCGACCTTGTCACTTTTGGGAGACAATTTACCATCATACTTAATCTGCGTTACTTCTTCCTTTAAGTTTTTCATCTGTGTCGAGCGTTGAGTGCAAACATTGCTCGCATTTTAGTCCCTTTCGTGTCTCCAGATTCAGGACAGTCTCGCTTGAGGTGAGCAGATTTACCACACCCATAGCATGTTCGTGGTTCTCTCTTGACATCACCTATAGACTTCAACCTCCAATTATCTGTTTTGACACGCTTCTTTTCGAGACCTCCCCTAGGTCTGCGACCACTTTCATAATTATCCGCGCTCACAGCAGACACTAGACTGCTGTGGTAACGTGAACTGGCTGTTCGAATATGCTCTTCCAATTCTTCCATGTCTTTCGTGGGAACATTTTCACACCGATTTTGCGTTTGAATGAGCGCGAATTCGTCAATCTTGGCCGGAAAACTGTGAAGTATGTACATCATCATTGTTGTTAATGAAATGTTCTGACCCAAGTCAGCGAATTCCAGCTGCTTGTTTCTCATTTTCCGAAGATGGACCTCGATGTATTTCATTCACATGGTACTTTATGCTCCGTAATTCTTCCTCAAGCCGTTGTACTTTGTGGAAAACAGCAGCTTTCAACATCCGGTTTGCGTACCGTCTCGTCAAAACAGCCAGCATGATGCTTCCAGTTGGTTCCGTCCGATAAAGCTCTGCAAGTTCAACTTAGAGCGACATTAAAATCGTTCTACGAAGTTTATGCTCCATCTTAGCCAACTTCAGCTTTCCCTCATCTGTCGACAAGCATTTAGCCTTAATGCGTCCACATGCCACATCCCAGTGCTCGCCGGAATCATCCATATCCTGGAACGTCATCTTCATCATTTTGAAGTACGTGTGCCAGAACTTTCCATTCCAATTGGCTGGAACATCATCCTTCGTGAATAGCTTTGTCTCAGTCATCGTCGGTCTATTTTTTGGGCTAATAACCCTGTTGTAAAGAGAACCAGCTACCGTCCGCAACGTGTTATTTGGAACTGTCGTTTATTATCGTTCTTATACAAGTCCTACCTTCCTACTGTTGATTCACCTAGGTTATGGAGTTGTCGTTAACTTGAAGATGGCTTACGGCTGGGGATGAAAACCGAAAAGTAAGTTGTATTTTGAATAGTTTGTTATCTCAAAACGAATGGCCATAAGAAGCCGGTGACTCTCAGCAACCAATTTGTGCCCTGTCTGTACCACAGGTAATTACTCCCTGTAAATACCTATGGTAAGAACTCCACTATAGCCTATGCAGAACAAAAGGTGATTGCGTGGGATGGGGTCGTAACCTCGGGTAGGTCAAGGTTTTGGTGAACCCCGAACACCAGGTCGTAGGTGTCAGCCCCAATAAACTTTGACGACAGCAGGGTTTGAACCCGCACCATGGAAACTTCCCTCACAAACCACTGAGTCAATCTGCACCTTGGCTTACTCATGCAATTTTAACCTATAACTAACGTCAATACAACTCCGCAACATGTAAAATGTGCATCTTACACACGTGGCCGCAACATCACTCTTCAACACCGGGGCCCATCCACTCGATGTTTCTACCCTTTGTGACTTGTCTTATCTTACCCGATGAACTATTACATGTCTAGCTCGTCATCGTCGAATACTGTCGTGTCTGGTCCATCTTTCTACAAGGTACAGTGCGTATCAGATACACGTAGCTGCAACATCACGCTTTAACAATAACATCCGTAAAAACCTTTTTACATTTCGGTTATTCATGTAAAAAGGAAAAAATCCAGGTTGGGATTATCTGTCCCACTTACCTTTGAGCTCAAACCCACGCACGTTCCCACACAAAACGACTTTCGTCAACGTATTGTTACTAGCCTTATACAACGCAAACACATACAGCAGCAACATCACTCTCTAGCATATTGTATTGTTCGACAATTTTTTGCTTTATCATTGCTAGCGAACATTCAACACAACTGACCTCTATTGATACCAAAAGCATAATGAAAAACATAAAGTTGAGCTTGACTTTATGTTGCTATCGTAACAATATTAAGTCACCATCTCTCATGCTCCAATCGATTGTTTACTTGCTTTGAACGGCTATGCTCACTTTCTTAGCTTTCAAACCCTCACTCAAATTCTTACTAGCTGTCTAAGTTTCCACTCACTCTATCTTTAGATCTACTCACTTTATCTTTTTTTAAAAATCTACTCACTCTATCTTTAGACCTGCTCTCTCACTCACTTATATTTTCTGTACCAAGTGACCTGAGTTCAAGTTTCAGTTAATCAATACACTGCAATATCTTACCTTTGTGAGCAATGGCTAGCTTCTTGTTTGTTGTAGACATGTTTCCATGACCTTTTGACAAAAGAGTGCCATGATGCTAAGACAAATGAGTTTAAGTCTTTGAAATCCGATTGACTCGCCCAACTCGCCCAACAAAAGAAATAGCCGTATAGGCTCGCATAGGAAAATCTTATGACGAACTGAAAATAATACATTGCAGTTTAAGGTAACAAAATACAAATTGGAAACAACGATGTTGACTTTCCAAAATCATTTCTCTAATACAGTATATGGACTATAATAGACTTGCTCAACATTTACATGACAGCTTGGCCGAGTGGTTAAGGCGATGGACTTGAAATCCATTGGGGCAACCCGCGTGAGTTCAAACCTCACAGCTGTCGATACATTTTCGCTTTGCATATGCTGCGTGTGCGGCTTTTGCAAGTTGCTTCGCCTGGTCTGCATAGTAAGAGCAGTCTTGTGCTACCTAGCGCAAAAAATGACGAATATGACGCGAATTGTTAGCTTTGACGGATGTGGCAAATTATTGTACGGTGGTCAGATTGCTGAGCAAAACATTCGAGCTCTGTTGCGATAAGCAATTTGCTGGCAAATTCGTTAAGTAAGACAATTCTGTCCGTAAAGATGTGACGGTGCTGTAAGTTGATTAGTGCCAGTTTGATAATGCAGCAGACATACCGTAGCCAAGCTACAAATTGCACTAAGTAAAGAGAAATACAAGCGTTAACCTCACAAGGCAAGTTACACAAGCTTACACCCTTTTGGTTGCTTGCTAAGAGATTTGCATCAACAGATAACAATGAATAATGCTTTAAGCAAGAAATGACTGCCAAAGCAGGTTTAAAACTGATTTACTTAGTTTTCATTTTCTAACACTTATATAGATTTCCTGTTCTATACTTCGTGCTAGTCACTATATTAATTGTCTCTGTAGCATTCCTACTATATTATATCCATAGTACTTAACCAATTACCATCGTTGGGTTGAATAAGTTTATAAGCTCGAACGTCTATACGACTACACTTCAGCAAAAGAACAAGACATTTAGTTGGATGGTCGCTTACTTTACTTTTGCAAGTATAAAGTGTTGAAGAGTGATGTTGCGGCTACGTGTGTAGGATGTATATTTAATATGTTGTAGAGTTGTATTGCAATTACTTATAGGTTAGGATTGCATAGCTGGGCCAAGGTGCAGATTGGCTCAGTTGTTTGGGAAGGAGGATTCCACGCTACTGGTGCGGGTTTAAACCCTCAAAGTTAATTGTGGCTGACACCTACGACCTGGTGTTCGGGGTTCAGCAAAGCCTTGACCTATCCAAGACTACGTTCCCCATCCCACGCAATCACCTTTTGTTCTGCATAGGCTATAGTGGAGTTCTTAACATAGGTATTTACAGGGAGTAATTACCTGTGGTACATACAGGGCACAAATCGGTTGCTGAGAGTCACCGGCTTCTTATGGCCATTCGTTTATAGATAACAAACTATTCAAAATACAACTTACTTTTCGGTTTTCATCCCCAGCCGTAAGCCATCTTCAAGCTAACGACAACTCCATAACCTAGAAATCAACATAAAGCAAAGGCTCAATTGACATCCACCATTAAGTTCCTGCTTCTGAAGATAGCCAGCACTTCTCACGAGTGTGAGTTACCGGCGACCGTTGCTAAGAAGGGTCAGAGACGAAGCTCACTTGCCGCCCAGCACGTAAAGCTAGGAAGTGTCAACGACGTCAGAGCAATCTTTCCGGAGAGGTATCTCAAATTTCCAGGAGTCGTACGAACGTGGATAGCCTCTCCACTTCGCCGTATATTGGGTATGACCCTGGTAACGACGAGTCTGGAGCATGGTGCGTCTGATTCGGTTCTCGCCTAACTTCTCTTGAGAAGCGTATCAATCCACAGCGCAGCTCAATAAACCGTAATTGCTTGGAGTCATTCGGCCGCTGATAAGCGTTGTAGCGATCTCTTTTAGGCGTTTGTTGTAATACGCTTATGGCAGTTGTAATAACGACGGCCGTGGGAAAAGACTATACGCAGACCAAAACATATCAGAAGACGGACAAGACGATGAACAGTTATCACAACTATCAAGCAGGGGCAAGACATTGAGGTGAAGTTGCGATTGGAACGGTAGCTACAACCGTAGGAACAGAGGTACTCATTCTCATAATTGCAGGGAAGAAGGCAAGTCATTTTAGGCGAATACGGAATATAAGCTAAGTAAATATATTTGTGTGTGTTAATAACACATCCGGTATTTCTTGGCGAGCAAGGCCCTGGTACTGCTTATTACAGCTCTTTTCAAAAAGAGATTGCAACAGTGTTGGTGCACTTGTAGAACCCGTATGCATCCTTGGTGCATGATGATCCGTCTCCTTTTGCCAAGGGTACGAGGACAGCCCTCGAAGTCCCCGGAGGTCGGGTCAATGCAAGGCTTAGTAAGCCAACATATAACACAAGATGTGCTTGCATTTTTTTTAGGAAAGATCAGGCGTAGAGGCTAAGCCATTCTTTGGTATGAGCTTGAGAGGTACAATAGCAATGGTCTCATATAGAGACTCCCGTTTTACGGGCAAGTTTTGGACGCCAGTCATCAAAGTGCTTGAAACCAGACTAGACATATCCACGACGGATCATCCGCAGACTGATGGTCAAGCAATGGAGCACAATGCTCCCACTCATGTAGTTTGTGCGTAATAACGCGGTTCATGCCTCAACAAGCTTCACCCTTTCTATGTTAATGATTCGGGTAACCCTCGCGTTCCGTTAACGCTACCCCCCTGCCAAATCAGGGCTTAGTGGGAAAGAGATAGCCGAAGGCTTGGATGAAATCAATCAGCCCTGTTGCAATTCGCAAGAAGGTGAAAGCGTTTTTTCAACGCTTTTTAACGTACTACATCGCATCAAAGAAGCTATGGCTGAACGTCAAGATGTTTAGAAGAAACAAGCAGATGCCAAAGGCACAAAGAACGAACACGAGCTCAAAGTGGGAAGTTTTTATTTTATACGCGAGATATCTACCTGCTCGTGCAGTGTCTGCAATGTACAAGACCAAACTACGTCCACGCTTTATTGAACCTATTTATGGTTTTAAGCAAGAAAAGCCTAGCCTATACGCTGAACCTTCCAAAGAAGATGCGAACACACCTTGTGTTCTGTGTGGGCTTACTAAAGCCATATCTTAACCCAGCCTCGGTGGACTTCGAGGGGTTGTTACCATATCTCCGACCAAAGGAGGTGGGTAATACATCTCCGGAGTTGCATAGGGATGCTGGAGGTGGAGATCATGGATCGGTGGTTTCCGAACCTAGCGACGCTGATCGATGATATGAGTTTCCATGTCAAGCGTCTCTTGGCGCGACGTCTTCATCAGAGTCGTGGCGAAGTGGAGGTGAAACCAACAGTCGTATGACTCATAGGGATACAAGGTAATACTTTGACAGGACTTCCCAGACGTCCTTGACGCTTTTAGCCAGGACCGTAAGAAGCGGAGACAGCAGTCACCGGACGCTTCCTAGCACTAGGTGCTGTGGAAGCAAGGTCAGTAGGCGGCTTCGACTCTGACCTTCTAAAGAAGCAGAAGCCGGTACATTACTTGCGTGAGAGGCACGGACAGCTGCTTCAGAAGCAGGTTCGTCGCAAGTACTTAACTAACATATGGAGGATAATGTACGCTTGTTCTCTAGCTTTGCAAAATTGAGACGAAGCCGAAGTTCTAACCAAACGTCCTGGTGCTTTGAGCTTAGGCGAAAGTCAGAAAGACTTGAAAGCTTGCAAGCTCGTTTAGTCCAAAGCGTGAACGGGCACTCATCTTGCGCAAATGTTTCACTTGGTGCAAACACCACTGGTATGTCGTTTAATGGATGCACCAGGACTCCACGTGACTGTCGCGACAGTCGTGATACGATTAAAACGTGAGCTCCTAGACGCTTACAAAGCGCGATACAGTCCGCAACCTCACAAGTCGTACGGACCTGGAGCCTAATGATGTAAGTACGCAAGGATCGCGATGCAGCTCGTCGAGCTTCCTCATTGGGTTTCCTAGGAACGAACCCATAATCACGACGTGAAAGCGTTTATTAGGGTCGTGCTAAGGCGGCCGCTCGGGCCTCGTCGTAGAGTTGACAACGCTGTGCAGCGTCAAGAGGGCAGTAAGCTCACACTCTTTAGTAATGTCAGAAATCACTTTGGAAACGAAGTTGGACAAGGCCATTGAGGCTGAGATGGACATCCCTGCTGCAGTACTATTTGCGCTGTAGGGGGATGGCTTGCTGATAACAAAAAGCTTGCGGGGTAACCCTATGAATTTGTTCTCAAGTTGGATGGAGGTGCGATGTCATGGTCAAGCAAACAGCAATCGATTGTAGCACTCTCGACAGCTGAGGCAGAATACGTATCAGCCTGTGCAGCAACGATGGAAGCTGTCAGTGAACAAAATGTGCGCAGCGAAGTTTTGACGATGATACCAGTGGCGATCAAAATCGGCATCGATAGCCAAAGTGCATACCTTATGGCCGTGAATCCAACCTATTCGAAGCGCACACGACACATTGAGAAACGGCGACATTTTGTGCGAGAGCAGGTCAAGTTGAAGACAGTGCAACTTGAGAAAGTTCCCGGCCAGTTGAATACAGCGAATGCTTTTACAAAGGCACTGGACAAACGAAGACTTGTATGGCTATCAAGCTTAATTGATGTGCGAGTCTAGACAAGAGGAGTTGTATTGTATGAAGGATGCTTAACAGCATGTGAAGTCCCAGTATGGAAAGGAGTGGATTGTGAAGTCCCAGAGGTAGGTTGCTAGTGCGTTGCCGTGGAAGGCGACAGCACATACATGTAGTAGGAAGGTAGGACTTGTATAAGAACGATAATAAACGACAGTTCCAAATAACACGTTGCGGACGGTAGCTGGTTCTCTTTACAACAGGGTTATTAGCCCAAAAAAATAGACCGACGATGACTGAGACAAAGCTATTCACGAAGGATGATGTTCCAGCCAATTGGAATGGAAAGTTCTGGCACACGTACTTCGAAATGATGAAGATGACGTTCCAGGATATGGATGATTCCGGCGAGCACTGGGATGTGGCATGTGGACGCATTAAGGCTAAATACTTGTCGACAGATGAGGGAAAGCTGAAGTTGGCCAAGATGGAGCATAAACTTCGTAGAACGATTTTAATGTCGCTCTAAGTTGAACTTGCAGAGCTTTATCGGACGGAACCAACTGGAAGCATCATGCTGGCTGTTTTGACGAGACGGTACGCAAACCGGATGTTGAAAGCTGCTGTTTTCCACAAAGTACAACGGCTTGAGGAAGAATTACGGAGCATAAAGTACCATGTGAATGAAATACATCGAGGTCCATCTTCGGAAAATGAGAAACAAGCAGCTGGAATTCGCTGACTTGGGTCAGAACATTTCATTAACAACAATGATGATGTACATACTTCACAGTTTTCCGGCCAAGATTGACGAATTCGCGCTCATTCAAACGCAAAATCGGTGTGAAAATGCTCCCACGAAAGACATGGAAGAATTGGAAGAGCATATTCGAACAGCCAGTTCACGTTACCACAGCAGTCTAGTGTCTGCTGTGAGCGCGGATAATTATGAAAGTGGTCGCAGACCTAGGGGAGGTCTCGAAAAGAAGCGTGTCAAAACAGATAATTGGAGGTTGAAGTCTATAGGTGATGTCAAGAGAGAACCACGAACATGCTATGGGTGTGGTAAATCTGCTCACCTCAAGCGAGACTGTCCTGAATCTGGAGACACGAAAGGGACTAAAATGCGAGCAATGTTTGCACTCAACGCTCGACACAGATGAAAAACTTAAAGGAAGAAGTAACGCAGATCAAGTATGATGGTAAATTGTCTCCCAAAAGTGACAAGGTCGATGTAGTGGTAGAGTCTTCAGTGGATTCGCCGACAAATGTTGCTGGAAAGACTCATACCCAGAGAGACGAGCCATCAAATGAATGTGAGACCGTACCATCGGATAACTATTATTGGTGCTTTAATATTGGAGCGAACGTACACGTTTCAAGTGTCCGTGAGGATTTTGTGACGTATGATGGTGCTCCTGTGAACTTTCAAGTAAGTGGGATTTCTGCGGGGTCATATTCTACAGTGGTGGGCATCGGTACAATACTCATAGGTTCGAAGGTCGATGATGAAGACCATCACTTTCTCTAAGGATATGTGCTTCACGTACCGGATGCAATACATGATTTGTTCTTGCCTGGTAAAGCGATCGAGCACGGCCTGGCCGTTGAATTATCATTGAACACGAAGCTTGTAATATCGCGTTGAGGATCTGCGCTAGTGAAAGCTACGTTCCACGATGGAATGTGGGGCCTTACTTCATCAAGAAGACTTGGATACGATAGAAACGCTGGTGCAGTCATGAAGCAATCGGAGAGGCCCGGGTTGGCTGACTACTCAACGGCCGATCGACAGGCATCTATGAAGCTCTGGCATCAGAGATTGGAGCACACGTGTGACCAGTACCTCAAGATTATGGCTGATCAAGAGCATGTCGATGGTATGGTTGTGACCGCACGCAGAAGACGAGATGTGACGCATGTCATGTTGGCAAACAGCGTCGCTGATAGCGCCAGAAAAGACAGATTGTAAGATCTCTGCACCGAATCAAGTCGTGTACGCGGATTAGGTGTTTCCAGCCAAGCACAACAATACTCGTTTTACTGCAATACTCGTGATAATGGACGGTTTCTCGAAGATATCTTACGACGAAACTTTTAACGCAAAAGAAGGCGGCAACGTTGAATCCACTGATGAAGGCTTATGTCAGCTGGGCAGAACGGAAGGCAGGACGATCTATCAAGAAGATCATTGTGAGTCGATGGGAACCAACGGAAGGCACACCAACCCTCCCGGTTCACAAGTTTCTGACCGACAAGGGAGGCAAATTTGTGAATGCGGACATTGATTTATGGTATCAATCGTATGGTATTGAGCACATAAAAGACGGACCTAAATGTTCGCATATGAATCCAGTGGAGCGTCAGCATTAGTCACTAGGTGAGATGGCGAAGACAATGCTACGACAAGCAGCTCTACCAAAATCATCTTGGCCAGATGCAATTGAGGACGCTGTGTATTTGATGAGCATAATTGCAACAGGAGTGTGGGATGCATGCCATTTGAAAAGCTATTTGGCACAAAGCCGGATTTTCACCACATTTGTAAATTTGGTTCCCTCGCTATGTGCATGTGCCGAAGGATCCAGATCGGCCACGACACGCAGACAACGCAAGGCTGCGTTTTCCTTGGTTTAAAGGAAGACAACGTTGGTTATAAGGTTTTCAGTCCGGCAGAGAACACACGAAAGTGGTCACCGGATGTGCAGATCGATGAATCAATCCTTTATGGTGACCGCTACCGGCGCCACGATCCACGAGAAGCTCCAATATTTTCGTCGGAGGATCCTGGTAATGCTTCGGATACGGAGGGTGTGGATGATCACCAAACGCGACTGGCGTTACAGCGTCCTTACTGAACGATGCTCTTACAGATATAGTCAGCATCGATCAGGGGGAAGATAAAGATAGCATACCGGATGTGATGACATGATCAATGGTGACGATGTGTACGATATTAATGACGATGACGATGATGATGATGCAAATGACGCTAGCAAATCATCTCCAGCTGGTTAACTACACCGAGGTCTATGCCGGTAGAAGAAACTCACAGTCATAGTAGTCAGGAGAGATCCAGTATGAGCCTTCCTGACACTTAATCCACAAAATGCCAACGATGTTTTGAGTGATCCCTTTACAGGTGGCATTAACCAAGATGCTGGAGATAACCAAGAAGATAATGAGGAGCAATCACGCCTCACTAATCGGAAGCGCCAAGATTTGGATATGTCACACATTTTAAGGCTCACTTAGTTGCACTTGGAAATGGGCAACGGCGCGGCATTGACTCTACTGAAACATTTTAACCGGTTGCACAAATGTCGAGCTTTCGCTTAGTGATGGCATTGTCTGCATTTCTTGGTCTGAAGGTTTATGATGCGGATATCAATACTGCGTATTTGAATGCTAAATTGCAGATACCGCAGTATGTGAACAAGATTGAAGGGTTCCCTTGCCGTAATAATGGCAGCTTTTACATTGTACGCAAGGCGTTGTACGGTCTACGCCAGGCTGGCCGCGAATGGATCAAAGAACTTGATCGATGGATGACTGGAAACAGTTACGTGCGGTGCTCCTCTGAACCATGTCTTTATTACAAGACCAGCAAAGACGGACAAATTACATTGGTTCTCGTATACGTGGACGATATCGTATGTGCAACGAACACAGAAGGAGAAAAGATTGATCTGTTCGCGAAGCTTGAGTCAAGATATGGGATCAAAGACCAAGGACTTCTGTCCGAATATCTAGGAGTGAGAGTCAAGAATGATGACAGTGCTATTTGCATAACGAAAGCATATATGCCAAAACAATTCTTGAAAAGTTCGGTTTTCATGATGCCCACGCGGTTGGAAATCCACTTGAGACTCGACAAAAGCTATCACCGGTCGCATCAGAGGATGAAGTAGACATGATGTTTGATTATCGCGGAGCTTTGGTAATGCTGATGTATCTAACTACATGCGCTCGCCCGGATCTTGCATACGCTGTTGGCGAATTGAGCTGTTTTATTGCTCGACCATCAAAGCAACACGTTGGGTGTATCAAGCGTTTATTGCGTAATCTGGTGGGTACAGTGAGTTATGGTATCAGCTACAAGCGTGAAGACTTTGGGGATTCAAAGATAACAATTCAAGGTTTTTGTAATAGCAGTTGGGCTTCTGATGCATGTGACAGGAAGAGTATTGATTTTCCTAAGTTATGGGGTTGTCGTTTACTTGAAGATGGCTTACGGCTGGGGATGAAAACCGAAAAGTAAGTTGTATTTTGAATAGTTTGTTATCTCAAAACGAATGGCCATAAGAAGCCGGTGACTCTCAGCCACCGATTTGTTGCCCTGTCTGTACCACAGGTAATTATTCCCTGTAAATACCTATGGTAAGAACTCCACTATAGCCTATGCAGAACAAAAGGTGATTGCGTGGGATGGGGGCGTAACCTCGGGTAGGTCAAGGCTTTGGTGAACCCCGAACACCAGGTCGTAGGTGTCAGCCCCAATTAACTTTGACGACGGCAGGGCTTGAACCCGCACCATGGAAACTTCCTTCCCAAACCACTAAGTCAATCTGCACCTTGGCTTACTTATGCAATTTTAACCTATAAGTTACTGCAATACAACTCCACAACATGTAAAATATACATCCTACACACGTAGCCGCAACATCACTCTTCAACAAAGAGCACTTATGGCTTTGTTTTAAAGTTGACAGGAGGTGCAATAGAATGGAAAAGTAAAACAAGCAACCAATTGTAGCACTCTGACAGCTGAGGCAGAAAATTCGTTGCAGCCTGTGAAACAACGATGGAAGCTGTCAGTGAACGGAATGTACTGAGCGAAGTGTTGCCGATAATAGCAGTGGAGAAGTACCTTTCCCCACACACTAAAGCTGTTTCAGTATTTTTGCGACCACGTTGGTCCGCGTGTTCTTTTTGCTTGTCCTGTGCGCTTGCCATTGCGTTAAGTCGTTTTCGTGTGATGGGTAGCTGCTCATCCACAACGTTGGGCCTCGCTCACGCTTTTAGCATCCAGCTCGCCTATGAGGAGGTTCCTCACAACGACATCGTCGTGCTCCCTCAGCAACGAACGTGCGGATTCGATGGGTCCTAGCCACACAACTTACCCGTGTCAAAGCCAACACAGTATGGTTCATAGATGATGTCGGCTATTTAAATAGCCGACTCAACCTGTCGGAACCACATCATACGGTTACCACCTTCTTCGCCGTCAATCTTGTCGACTTCCATGTGATGGGTTTTGTTCTGCAGACTACTTCTTGCGCCAGTCGCTATAGACGACGGCACAGATGCAGGCATTTGTGTCTTCATATTTCTACCGGAGAGTCATTATACCGTCAAGCATACGAAGATGCTTGTTGACCTCTTCTTTGCCTAGGGCGATGAGGTATTCCACACCCTTCCGGCCAATATAGGGAGTCGTTTTTGCAACTGCTCTTTTTGTGCCTGCGATAGGCCTGCCGCGGACATCTCTTCGATGTCCGTTCTCACACAGATGTAGTCACAGACACAGGTGCGGGATTGACTACAAGTGCTGCCAGGTGTATCAGAGCTACCGTGGCAAAGCTACTTATATGCACTATGTACAGAGGAAGACAAGCTCTAGGAGCTTTGCGTCTGCGGATTCTCCATCCTCACGACTAGCTCTACAAGCTTGTGTCTTCTGGTTGGAAACAACTACGTCTCCAAATGATCTGTATCAGAGATACACTTTCTTTACACAAGAGCTAAGGCTCTAGCAACAATGCTATATAGAGCAGGTTTAAAACTGATTTATTCACCGCTTATTTTCTCGCACTGAATATAAAAGCACATACCCGCTAGTCACTATTTAGCTGGCTCTGTAGTCTCCTTATATGTAATCATATATATACATCATCCTTGACCCAAGTACAATGACCACGTAATTCACTACCACGATGTGAACCCATTGTACCTTAGCTACGGCCACATCAACCTCAAAATACTGCCACACCACAATGGTGTGGCAGGTATGTATAACAAACAACTTTGTTACGACCGAGTAATAGTGAGGCCATTGCAAATGTGCAGTCAATAGTATTATCGTACAACATGACCCAAAAACCACCACGACAAAAATCGATAACTTTAAATTTAATGTATGCAATTACATGTAAAAATAGAGGTTCTTCTATTTACACAATCATGTATGACAAGCTCCTCCTTCAACACAAACAATAATACTTTACCATATAAATTACTTACCATGGATTCTAGTCATTTCAAAACCTGCTTCAATCATTTCAAGTCATGCACGTTTCTTCAGTCTTGATCGTAACAATACTACGATTTCTACCGATATTCTCCGTCTTTTCCTCTTCTGTATCATCATTATCTATTACTAGTAGTAGTACTAGTACTACTACTAGTATTAGTAGACCATGTGATCCTTATTATGAACAACGTAATATCAGTACAGGTGAATGTGATTGTCGCAAAGGATTTAGTGGCTATGATTGCCGCATGTGTACATCCAGTCGATCGGTATCATCTGATATATGTAGTACTACTTTTGGATTGGACTATATTTGTGTCACGGGACTAGATTATGATGCGCATGCGTCATCAAAGACCTATGAATGTACATTATCAAAGGATTTACAAGTGTTAGTATCAGATGGAGCACTGGATATACAGTGCACACGTGATCTTCATACACAGGTTGCAAATTGTTCAGCTGCTATTTTTAAAGCCAAGGAAAGTGTACAAAGTGTGCATGTAATTGATTGTAACATTACACAATGTCTCTTTTTAACGGGCGATACAAATGGAGAATGTAAACAAATTGATTGTTTATGTGGTCCACAATGTTCCGCAATGACAAAAACTCTGGTGGAAAAAATACTTAGTGGAAAACAAGCGAAGATTAAAGTAACAAATACGACTGAAGTGGCAATTATCATTCAAGATTCACCCATTCCATTATCCGCAACATGCACGGCCTCGGCATGTGAGCGTAAAATTAATGGTGGTGGAAGCAGCAGTAGTAGTACATCAGGTAGTGGAAGCTCAAGTGGAAATTCAGATACAAAGAGTCACGTTTGGATCGTTATTGCAGCATGTGGAGCTTTCATTCTATTGTTGATACTATGTGGATTCACGTGCTCGTACTGTCTGACTGCAAGTATTGAACGTCAACAGACGGAAGACGTGGAAGCAGAATTACGCCAATTTACGTCACAAACAGCAAGTAAACTTGAGTTTTCTCATGTGAGCTGCTATGCAGATACTGGACAATTGTTGTCAATGGAATACTTACTATCGAGTAAGTCTAAATGTATTTTACACAAGGTTTCAGGCAGTGCATCACGTGGTCAAGTACTTGGTTTATTAGGACCTAGTGGGTCAGGTAAAACGACCTTGCTAAATGCTCTTGCAGCAGTTGAGAATGGACTTTCACAGTTTACTGGGGAATTGTTACTCGATGACAAACGCCTGACAAACGGATATCGACGTATTGCTGCCTATGTGCAGCAGGATGACTCACTGTATTCAACACTGACTGTGCGTGAATGCATTTCATACTCGGCACAACTTCGTCTTTGTGCGACACTGTCTGACAAAGTAAAGAATGCAATGGTTGATCGTGTCATTGCAGAGCTCAATCTTAGCCATATTGCAAATTCGCGGATTGGATCAGCAGGAGGAAATAGTGGTCAGCGCGGGGTATCTGGCGGTGAGAGAAGACGAGTGAGCATTGGCATGGAGCTTGTAATATCCCCACGGATTCTCATTCTTGACGAGCCTACGTCTGGACTGGACAGTTCTTCGGCGCATTCGGTTGTACAACTTCTGAAGGATCTGGCAGGTCACGGACGCATCGTGATTCTCAGTATCCATCAGCCAAGCGCACGATCTTTCTTGCTGCTTGACAAGATCATGCTGCTCGGGAAGGGCAAACTGCTTTATAGTGGAGGGCCCGCAGAGTCCAAAAAGTACTTCCAAGATCTCGGTTTCAAGTGTCCGAAGGTATGTATCAAGCTTGATTCAAGTTGTTTCTGCTTTCATAAATTTTTTACGGTATTGCTCATGCTGTGAATACTATGTAGCACGAAAACATTGCGGACTTTATCCTTGACATCGCGTCCGATTCGAGAAACATACCGATGATTCGGTGTCACATGAAACAAGAGCCGACAGAACCAGCAAAAGTGTCTTCAAGGTCTTGCACTCACCTGCAGAACATTCCACCGCAGCTTGCAATCGACAGCCCTATGGCACAGTCGGAGACGCTGCCGCTTATGGAGGAGGACTTGTCGCTGGACACCCCGCGAGTCAACAATTTGCTGGCTTCACCTGTCGAATCAGCAAGATTCGAAGAACCAAGAACAGATGAGCTACCAGCGCCATTACCTGCAGCTGTTGCGGAAACTAGAATGGATGCAATTGGTATTGCTATGAAGACTCCATCCCATTCGATCCTGATTGAAATTCGCGTGCTATTTGTGCGTACGGCGCAGAACATCCTTCGACACCGATCGTTGCTAGTGCTGCATATTGCCCTGAGCTTGTCGTTGGCTCTGTTTGGTGGCTTGATCTTCAATCACGTTACCAACGACCTCGCTGGATTTCAAAACCGCATGGGCGCATTCTATTTTATTCTCACCTTCTTTGGCTTTGCAAGTATGAGTTCCATGGACCTGTTCATCAGTGAGCGCCCAATTTTCCTTCGTGAGACTGGTGCCATGTACTATGGAGCGTTCAGCTACTTTCTCGCCAAGGCCACGTTGGACACATTGCTGTTGCGAATACTGCCAGCTTCGCTCTTCGCGAGCATCTTCTACTGGATTATGGGACTTCAAGCTTCAACAGCGCGCTTCCTGTTGTTTTCTCTGACGTTGGTGCTTTTTAATGTTGCAGCTGGTGCAATTTGTCTTCTTGTGGGTGTATTATCAAGACGCGTTGGGTCTGCAAACCTTGTTGCAACTGTTGTCCTTCTTGTCATGCTGTTGTTTGGCGGTTTCTTGCTCAACTCACAAACAATGCCAACATCAGTGTGCTGGTTGAAACATCTTTCCGTTTTCAGCTACGCATTTGAGATCCTCATGACGAATGAATTGAAAGGTCTAATTCTGAAGTTTGATGCTCCTGGGTACCCGGCCGTGCCTGTCTACGGTGAAGTTTACCTCAAGACACTTGGCATGGACTATGCGAACCGGTACTACGACGTGGTAGCTCTCGCTCTAATTGCAGTGAGCCTGCAAGTACTTGCTTTCTTATTTTTGACACTGCAAGTTCCACTCCATCGTGACATAGCTGAACATGATGAAGACGATGACTTATCATCACCACACGAAGAAGTAGAAGTATAGGTGAAGAGAAAATATCCACGAAAATGATGGCTATATAATTTGTGCTTGTATGCGCGGATGACGTGCGCATTCATCTTCAATCATAATTATCCTGCGGTTTCGCTGCTGGTAAGTAAGTACAAGTGATTATGCTGAGCTGCTTACAAGTCGAGAAGCAACAAATGCTATCATCAAAAAATTAGCTTATCCTGCTACTGCATATGTGACTAGCGAGGCATTTCGAACCTCTTGGCAGTGTGTTGGTGGACTTGACAACACATCATGATCTTTGTCTAGATGAAGCGCATCAAACGATCATCATCCCGTTAAATGGGCTGTTTGCGTCATGCGGAACTAGAAGTGGAATAAACCCAATGCTTGTTTCATGAGCAAAACTTCCGCTACCATCAATTCCACTATTCAAAGAGGAATGTCATTCACCTTGAAACCTACACAACATGTGATTCATACCTGGTTGGTTGTCCGTGGAATGAATTCAACAAGTGACGAGTTTACTCCCACGAACGTGAGCTAACGCATGACTTTTCATTGTCAATGGTGCATTAATCGTCCGACACACTTAATGAGCAATTGTTTTGTCTGCGTTCGTTTTGGGCAACAACACTCCACATCAAAACGCTATGATTGTAACGATTGCTGTTGTAGCACGACAGACCTTCTCGTAGTTACGCCCCGTGAGATGTGCACCATGCTGGAGTTTACTGTTACACAGAATGGGGAGTACAAGCACACAGTCAGCTTTGCTCTGTTCGCTTGCTTAACTGACTGGAAGTAAAAGACGACGAGCAGTGAAAGATGCCAAAAATCGCAGACAAGCTTGGAAGCACATTCACGTTGTCAATGAGTAGACATGTCTGTCAATGGACGGAGGCTGCAGCCAGGCAACTACAAAAAGAGATGCCCAAAAAATGATACAACTCTCTCTCTTCTGCTTACGATTGCAGTGTGTTTCACCATTGCCATTGTAGCAGCAGGAAGCCAAGTTGCGCAGATTGCGTTCAATCCCTGAAAAGAGCATATGGGTCATTCGAGTTACGACGACAATGTTGCTTATAAAATGCGGAAGCTGTGCGCAGGTCAAATTTACAGTGTAGAGGACCGAGCCATGCGAGTTGATCGATTCCAGTGAGGTGACCATATCGACCAGAATTATCCAGCTGGATCACGTTTCTAAGACCATAGACTACCAAAATACCACAATGTTCCATACAAATTTCCAAGCAAATTACCTCCAGTGGTGATACGCAGATTGTACCAAATTTACCAGCCAGTATTCCATTGACCACGAAAACTAATCGAACGCCAGCTAGTCCAAAACAATGCACCACATATGATTTGTCCATTTCTTTCGAGATATAACCGCAATGCTTACAAACCAAGCCTCATTCGTAATTCCACGATAAGTCCTGCAACCTCTACACTCTGCATCCAACGAGAGAGGCGTCACCACATTACTCATGGCAACGATTTCGCACTGCGATGCACACTTAGCGGCTGCGGCTTCGACTGCGAGGCCCAGAGGGAGGAGGTGACCTGATAAATAACACAAATCAACCCCAGTAACAGATCGCAAAAACAAAAGGTTAGCAAAAATACGGATATGAAGCCAACACATCGTGTTCATACCAGCTCCGGTCGTGTCGAGGACCATGACGCGATCCATGGCGCGCCGATGACATCTCCGGGCGGCTGTAGCGATGGTGCTCTTGCGCAGACTTGTCCAGTCCTCGTTTAGAGTACTCGCGAATCACCCGTTCTTCACCTCGTGGCCCCCCCATCAGAGTATCCAGACTGCAGTAGACGCTGCTCAGGCTCATCAAATTCATCGGACTCGTCTGGACGCCCGTACAACGGGTAGTGGCGCGAACGCTCGTGCCTGCTCGAGACTTCCTCGCCTCTTCGCATGCTGCTGCTGATATGGCGCCGATGACGCGGAGGAGATCCGCTGCGTCCCCGCTCCTCTGAGGCCTCTCGATTGTGCCGCGACGAATGGTGCCGACTCATGTGGCGATGTGGATGAACACGACGATGACTACTCGAGTCTTCAATCTCGTCTTCATATCTGCTTTTTCTCCCGGCCACCTGAGAATCAAGCGAGTCGTTATGAAAACGTCCACCTTCCCGTTTTTTGCCTTCATAGGTGCCTTTACTGGTGTCATAGTTCCCGCGATTCATACGTTTAGGTCCATCACCTTTATTTCTACGCACAGCATAATTCCAAACACAACGTCGTCATTTTGTCTACACAAAAAAGCACACGTCCAACGAAAACAAATAGTTGAGATCTACGTACTTGCGAAAATTATAGTCCGTACGTAGATGCTGTCCTGCTATAACAATCATCGCATTGTGTGCTTTCTGGGCCGATGATACGTCCGTATAATCCACAAAAGCTGACATGGGAGCATTAGGTTTTGCTTGAGGTAAGACTTTTACATTCTTGACTTCTCCAAAGACTGCAAACGCATCATCTAATTCACTCATCTTGATATTTGGTGGAATATTTGCCACAAATAGATTTGGTGACGCATTCAATGGAAATTTTGGTTTATGAGGTAGCAATGGCGGTGGATGAGTGGAATTCTTGAATGATTGCATTGGTGGTGGTACTGGACCTGGTGGTGGTGCCACATGTAAAGGTGGTGAAGGTCCATCATAACGACGTTGCGTTGTACCATGAGAGACTGCAAATGCGACACGTAATCGACGTCCACCTAATTCCTTATCATTCATTTCTTGTAATGCCATTTCAGCATCTTCTAATTGTTCATAATGAACAAATGCATACCCTTTTTTAACTGCACATTGTTCAATTGGACCAAACTAAATCCCATAGGTTATAAATAGAAATGATATAGAAATGACATAGACAAAATCGATATCAACACAATATTAGAGACCCGAACAAGACCCAAAGAGATCAAAAAGATCATAGAAATACTATCCAGTAATGCATATTCGTATCATACTTTGCCAAATTCTTCTTCAATATCACGTTGTGTGAGCTCATAGAAGAGATTTCCTACGTAGAGTTTTGTCGATGCCATGGGACTTTCTGCCATAGTAAAATAAGAGGATTAAATTGCGTTTTGAATGGATCTGTAACGTTTTTGGTTATTATTCTGCGTTTTTAACCAATGGAAGGAAGGGGCTGGGATGTAGCCATTTCTAAACACATTGCGGGCCTTTCAAACAACAAATCTATGTGTTGTGACACAATGTATATATGTGCTGCTGACTTTATTCGATTCATATTACGCTTTTGTATCGATCTCATGACAAGAAATCAAGTAATGCACTTCATTTTGGCTACTTTCGTCATTGTTTTCTTATTAGCGACTGCAATGAATGGTCTCAAAAATAGCTACAGCATCCAATATCGATCGAGATAATTGCAACGTCATGCTTCAAGTCGCGTGGAATTTCTTGTTCGTCTTGGCCATATCTTGTAGCAATGGTGCAGGGACAAATTGTTCACCGTACTGGTCGGCATAGCGTTGCATCAACTCGGTAAACTTAGTACTGCCCAATTTGTCAATATAGCGAAATGGACCACCAATGAAAGGTGGAAAACCAATGCCGAATACAGCACCAATGTCACCCTCCGAAGGCGATGCAATGATATCATCTTGTACGCAAAGAACCGCCTCGTTTACAAAACGCGAGATAAGGCGGTTCACGGTGTCTTCTTCACTCAGCTTCAGATCACTCTTTTGAAACTTCTTTACAAGATTCATGGCATCAGTGTTGATGATTTTCTTGCCCTTTTTGCCCTTAGGCGGCTGCATGAAAAAGCCTTTGCCCGACTTTTTACCCAAAAATCCCTGCCCAATCATCTCTTCAAAAAGTTTGGCATCGCCTCCCTTCATACGCACGCCCAACGCCTTTGACAGCGTTTGGTTTACGTGATAGGCTACATCAAGGCCCACCTCGTCAGCAAGAGTAATCGGACCCACTGGCAGACCCCACGTCGTCATGAGCTTATCAAGCTTGTCCGGTTCCACGCCATCTTCCACTAACGCCAATGTTTCAGCGATATACGGACCTAGGCAGCGGTTTACGTAAAAGCCCGGCACATCTTTTACTACAATAGCCGTCTTTCCTTGACGTAGTCCCAAGTCGACAGCTTTCGCAGCGGTCGCGTCACTCGTGCCAGCGTGACGAATGATTTCCAGCAGTGGCATACTCGGCACAGGTGAAAAGTAGTGCATGCCAATCACGTTCTCCGGACGCTTACAAGCAGATGCAATGTCAGCAACCGAAAGAGCCGACGTATTGGTCGCAACAACGCAGTCCTTTGACACGTAGTTCTCGAGGTCCGACAACACCTTATGCTTCAGTGCCAAGTCCTCAAAGACGGCTTCAATAGCAAGGTCTGCCTTTTTCATGTGCGTCTTCCATACCTCATCTTCGTCTGACAAAGGCACTACATTGGCCATGACGGCGTCACGTTCAAAAATGGTCATGCGTTTGCGCTTCACCTTCTGATCCAAGTTGCTGCGTACGTAGTCTTCACCCTTAGCAGCAGACACAGCATCGCGATCCTTCAGCAGAACACGCACACCTTTTGTAGCTGATACCTGTGCAATACCAGCTCCCATCAGCCCAGCACCAATGACGGCCATGGTCTCCACAGGCTTTGAAGGCTTGCCGTAGCGATTCTTCTTTAGCGCTGTTTGTCCGAAAAAGATGCCCATGAGGGCCTTGGCCTCGCTGGTCATACCCAGCTTTGCAAAATTAGCTGCCTCTACCTCAAGACCCTTCTTGAATCCATTCTCAACACCTGTTTGAACCGCCTCCAAGATCAATTTGGGTGCAGGGTAGTGTCCACCCGTCTTCTTCTGCACCATCTCTCCTGCCTTCTTATACACAATCTGGCGTAATGGAGTGTCCTCCACGATGCGATTGACAAGGCCCTTGTTTTTCTTCTTGGGTTTAAGGTTTCCAGTAGCTAATTGTTCCGCTGCGGCAATGGCCGCGCTCTCGAGTGCATACGAGTCGGTCACTTGGTTTACTAGTCCCATCTTAAGAGCCTTGTCTGCCTTAATGTTCTTGCCCGTGAGCATCATATCCAGAGCAGCTTGAAGACCCACTAGCTTTGGCAAACGTTGTGTGCCTCCTGCTCCAGGTAGCAATCCTAACATCACTTCAGGCAGTGCTAACTGTGTCTTCTTGTTCTGTGAAGCTACTCGGTAGTGGCAAGCAAGCGCTACTTCAAGTCCTCCACCCATACAGGATCCTTCAATGGCTGCTACAATTGGTTTCTTCGAGCTTGCTACACGGTTCATAAAACTCTGACCAGCGTTGGACAATGCACGCATCTCTTCCTCGGTCTTGCACGCATTCAGCTCTGTAATATCAGCACCAGCAATAAAGACACCAGGTTTGGCCGAAATCAGGACAACAGACTTAATCGCTGGATCATTTTCCACCGTATCTAGCATTGTCGTCATCTCTGCCGTCATTTTCGATGAGATTGTATTTACTTTAGCTGCTTTATCATCTAGTCGCACAATAGCAACACCATTAGGACGCATTTCCATGGTAAGGAAAGCACCAGAGCTAATGTTCGAGAAAGAACGGAAGGATGATAGTCGTGTAGTAGATACCGATACATGACGTAAGATTGAAGCTGCTTGCAGGACCATAGTTTAATCAAGTATAAAACCTCACGTTTGTCTTACTTGCAGAATTCAAGAATGACGAAAAGATCTGCGTGACGAGATGATTCTGACGTGATTCCAACGTGAGCCTTTGTTTTCAACCAATGAAATTACGTTATAATAATCACTTCAAGTACGTCAGTCAGTCCGAGTCCTTCTTAATAGTCTTATATTGTGCCACAAATTAGCTTTACGCTTTCGTGCAATGGAAGGATAAGGCGCTACTTGTAAACTTTATGCAACCTTGGGCTTATTTTGCATTTTCTGAAGAGAATGGACCAATGGTTGATCGAGCATAGTTGGGATAGCGTTTTCGTCAGCAGGAGGGGTGACACGTTCAGCCACTGAAGACTCGGAGTCAGGACCCAAGCATGTGGTGTCACTACTCAGTGTATTCAGAAACTTTCGCAACTTGGAAAAGTAAGTGCTACCTCCACGCAGCCATGAGTCGTTATGTGTACCATCAGGAACAGGATACCACATCACGTGTTGGCTTGCAGTCGCAAGTAAACGCAGTCTTTCCATATGGGAATGAGGCACCAGTTCATCTTGCATTCCAGCAATGAAAAGGATCGGCTGCTTTATCGTTTCAATATCTTGCTCACTGTTCCAGTTCATCCTCAATACCAACGGCTTGACGTACGTGAGGAATGGCATTAGTGCGTCGACCATGGCTGATATGCTCAGGAATGTGTTTTCCAGGACAACGGCAGCCACCTGCACGAGAACGATTGTTAGAAAGCAATACAATGACCTTCGATTATACTACAAAAAATAACTGCGTACCCTCGTAGGCTCTTTCTTAGCAAGGTAGACAGCTACCGCTCCACCTAACGATCGGCCAAACACCACAAGCTTCGACGTGTCAATGTCCGTGCGAGCATACATGGCGTCTAGAGCAGCCTACGCTTCACAACCACAAGCGATCATTTTATTTCAATCACACGTACTAAGCATATATCCTTTGGCACCTCTGCATCTAGTTGGATTCCTTCCTCTGACGGTTTTCCTTCACTATGACCGAATCCTCGATAATCTACAAGCAGAATATTCACCCCCAGTTTCCTAAACAACTGCACGGCATTAGGCAGACGATAGCCAATATCTAAAAACACACACACACAATACATACATACAAATCGATCAATCAACTAGACTAGACTAGACTAGACAGCTCTAATTCGAGCAAAAGATCTCACTTCCGGCATTGCCATGGAAGAAAATAAGTGTTGGATGAATCCTGTGATCTTTTTGCTTCATGAGCCACGCATGAATCTTCACACCATCCTTGCATGGAATCATGAGGTCTTCATAATGAATGGAAAACTCTCCTGGGTGTCGATATCCTTATCAATGAAAGATATACAGGGTTTAGGCATTAGAACAAGACCAGTCATGGTAGACAAAAAGAAAACACATTTACGATGGGTATTACACACCTGGAGGGTTATCTTTTGTGAATCTAGAGGAACCAGGGATTGTAGGAAAGTATAATAGACGATCTTGGTACATATATAGAAGGAATAATGCACCCATGCACAGCGTAGCACCGGTATAAACGGCACTCAGTAGCCACGACGTTAGGCTTGAGCTCTCAGTCATTGCAAAAACTCAATGTAAACTATACTTGATAAATGTATGCAATAATGTATACATCAATTAACAAAATAAGCAAGGATGTTTATTAATATTACACATGTATAGCCATGAAGCTTCAATATCGAATAAGATCTGACTACTTTGTCAAAGACGGTACAGAGATACAAGTAAACTGTATAGAAGTGCAATTAACATCATTTAAAGCTCCGTAGTATTGCTGCTGCCTGTTGTTGTTGCTGCTGCATCTTTTGTGCTTCTATTTGCATTGAAAAAAAACGCTACAAGATCAAGCATTTGAATGATCTTTTGCTGCTCTTTTTAGGATTCTGCTGGTTAATGATAACACACCGAATAGCTTCATCGAACACCAACTTGAGCCCTTTCTGTGTTAGTGCCGAGCACTCCATATAATTGTATGCACCAAGTTCTTTTGTCAGTATTTCGCCCTGTGCAGCAGTGACATGGTCAAGATACAACACCACTCTTACTGATCATGTCTTCAGACGCACCTGTTGCTTGCTAATCGGTGCAAGTTTCTTCTCCCGCAGTTTCTCCAGAGTCTCTTCGTCATCACGAAGATCACACTTGGTACCGACTAGAATAAATGGTACTTTTGGTGCGTGGTGGCGGATCTCGGGCAGCCATTTAGACTTGACATTTTCAAAGGAAGCCCGACTATGAGCAAAAAAGTCAGCAAACCAACAACAGGACGGACGCTATTGTTGCAATCACGAACTTACCTGACAACAGAAAAGCAAATGAGAAACACATCCGTCTGTGGATAACTCAGTGGTCGAAGTCGGTCATAGTCTTCCTGTCCAGCCGTATCCCAAAGCCCCAAATTAATCGGCTGATTGTCTACCATCACGTTGGCGCTATAGTTGTCAAAGACTGTCGGGATGTACTCGCCTGGAAATGTATTTGTCGTGTATGAAATGAGCACACACGTCTTTCCCACGGCACCATCACTAATCATCACGTCAAATAATAATGAATCCGTCAGAACTTGTACCACTACAAGACATTAACAAATCATTCGTTTGCTGCTGTCACTTACCCGACAACTACACACTTCATGTTTTGAATAGCAGACATTTTGCGTTTGTGGTTACTAGTTAAAATGATTAAACTTGGACCTGTGTGTGTTGCGCACTATTTGCTTTAGTGAACAGTCTCATGTCCAGCCTAAATGCTTGAGGTAGCGGTTTCATAGTCCATTTCCGGCTTGTATTCAGAACTAAAAGTAGAAGTCTGGAAACATAAAGAGTTTCATTCCATACTGAAACCAAGTGAATTGTTGTTACGTTCTGACAAGTAGCACCACTAAGTCCAGCACACAGTGAACCTTCATGGCTAGGAAAGTATGTGAATCGAATTGCTTTCAATTCGTCTATGCGATACAATTGGACGTAAAGATGTAGTCATCCTACTTGTAGATTCACTACTTGGTTTATTGTTAACCGAACGTTAACGCACTTGATTAAACTTCATCTCTGGAAGAAATGACAACGATTACAACACTTGGTTAATGTAGATACTAATATGAATCGTACAAGAACACACTGTCATTGGCACGAACCAAGACTAGTCGTATACTGCTCGATATCATTGACCATATCCTCAATCTCGCTTATCTCCTTGTCAATCTCATCAATCATATTCATTTTTTCCTTTACTGCATGTGCTGATAGTAGAAACTCAATTGAAAGACTGTTATTACTCATTATAGATTCAATACTTTCTTCTTGACTCGATCATCATCATCACTATTGATATTATTTACCTCTTGCCTCTAATACGTTCGATAACTTGCCAATGCTCTTGATCTCTTGTTTCATTCCCATATACTTGATATTGATGTTATCTATAACGCTTGCCATCATTTGCATGGATTCAAATGAGCCTTTCAATAGCAGTCACAAATGTGTTTTAGACTTATATTATACATGTTTTTTTGTATTACATGTTGGTGTCTTTCACTTACCATCAAGCTGTGCACCTATATAGGCTGTAACGTTCTCGCACACGCGCTTCGTAAGTTCTCGTAGCTCGTCTACCTCGGACTTCTCCATACTTGAGTGATGCACCTGCTATGTAGCATTAGACATGAAAGATGTTAGGTTCTCGCACAAGTCGCAGATATGTGACGTGTGAGCAGATGCATGGTGCATTCATTTACATGGAATCGCTACGTCTTAAGAGTAGATTTTCGTATTGAAGTATCATTGACTCAGTAGGAATGAAACGTGGATTGTGTCGAGGTGACAAATTGAAGCATGGAGAACAATCGGATGCTGCCGTCGGTGATAACGAAAAATTCGTGCGAATATCCTCTTGCGCTGCTTTTGAAGTGGCCGACAGTTTGGTCAACGGAACCACGATCCAATCGACAGGAGGAAGCTTGAGGAAGTCGCGCACATTTATCTCTGCTGTGAGTGGAAATTTCTCATTAAACGCTCCTCTATAGCTTAGAGAAAGCGCACGCTCCAAAAAGAGTTGCAAAAGGGCTGCTCGACGCTCGAGGTAACTGGCTGAAAGGTATCGAAAGAAAGTCTTTGGTGGAAACCACTGACGAGTGTGAAGAGAAGGAAATTTTGTCTCGAGTGTCAGTGATAGCGCGTCAAACTCAGAGTACCGACGATTGACAGTCGTCATTTCCAAACCTCCATCGACGAAGAAGAGCACAGTGATGGCATATTTGGCCACGCCATCCATGACTGACACACTGGATATCTCCACAGTAAACGATCCGTCATTTTGTATCTCATTAAACCAGTAACAAGGGTCAATAAAGCGAACACACTTGGCAGCACCCGACCAATTGAGACTACGCGACCGCATTAGCGGTCCAAAGTCGTTGCAAACGTTGCCGTTGTCATGTGGGTGGCTGGATGGAGTACGTTTCATGGCGTTCCATTTCCCGTAGCAACTCACATCTAACGATGTATTCGGGTCGACATCAAGCCATGCGCGTGGAAGTACCGGTCGACTGCCGCCGTCTTGTCGTTCAATTCGAGCGTCACATGAGCTCGTTGCGACGATTGTCTGCTCACCAAAACCCAGCGCTAGACCTAGAAAGTCGCGGACCCGTACATTGCTCGACACGGGCTCTTTGAGCGTCACAAGTCTGTTTAACCCCGTTGCGGTGATCTGCATTACAAAGCTCAGGAACTGAATCACTTGCTCACCGTATTCATCTAGAGCTCGTTGCTTTTGGATGAGACGTGGTCTATACGTGGGCATCTTATCCGCTAAACAATGTCCTATGTACTGAAGCGACAGTGCTTCCGTCAGCTTGGCAACCTCTCGTTGCGTTCGTTCAGTGTATGAGATATAGTACTGTCGCTTTGTGGCTGGCTTGACGCGCGAGTCATCACAAATGGATCTAGCGCAGCAACACATTGTTGCAATACAAAAGCAGACTTCTCCATGGTTTTGAAACACCGAAGCCATCTTAATCGTAAAATCACCAGGCGAAGCAAATGCAGGCGACCATAACTTGGGCTGGCAAAAAACACGACACACACCTTCATGCATCTCCGGGATCTGTATCTCATCCAGATCAATGTTATGCAGAGCAAAACTTTTGCTCTTTGAGACTTTCGACGAGTCTGGTGCACGGTCACGCGTCGGCTCCATCAAAGTGGACGGAGCACTGCTCTCGAATGGGTCTACCCGCTGCAAATGGTTCGCCATCCGATTATCTCCATCATGCATTGGCTTCTCCAATGGAGTCGTTTGGGTCCCCGTGGTTGGTCGTTGCAACTCCGTCAATGACGCGCGCTTCTCCCGGAAAGTCTCATAGGCGAGTCTTTTACGAGCTTGCGGATACATTTTCAACCTCTTACCAACCAGTGGCGTGTCAGGGGCTGCATTGCTACCACAAGACAGCATGTTGACAATGACTAATGAATACTAGAAGAAGGAAAAGAAGTAGTAGCCTTGGGAAAGTCCGCAGAAGTTGGAATGAATAGCAACCGTCTTCTTATCCCTACTCTCAATGCTACAAAAGAACCGAATTAGCACATGCCGTTGCTCTTTACTCCGTGACAAGACAACGGTCATTCTGATTCCATTGTAGCAGTAAGATGTATTCATTACAAAGGTGCATCATTATAATGCAGCAACTCTGACAGCTATGACCACGTACGTTCCCCAAGAGCGCTAATGTGAAGACGCTGATATCAATATCGTCCATTTTCAACGGTCTTATATGATGATACACAAGGCATCGAATGGTCCTAAGCAGTATGACGACAAAGACTGGAATATCGGAGCATTTGTTATTCCGTGATAGATTCAAGCAGTGTACCATGGAGCTGTGGGATATGTATGTGCGACCACGATGCACACAAGTCGCTAGTGTTCTGTTCAACATCAGTGACATTCTTTTGATATCACAAGAGATTGAAGCGTATGTGAAGAAGGTGATCCAGTAGACGTTCATGCTTGCAACAAGTCGATATTGGTATCACGGGAAGTGTATGGAACATGCTCAAGAATACATGGAGTCCACTGGAGAAGTTAGCACTGCAAAGAATCATTTGCACGTCAAAGGTTGGGTCTAGAATATCGTCTCCATGTCCACATCTTGTCAATCATTACTTTGCACTTAGAATTTGTCTGGCACCGTAAGCGGTTGTTGTTTGCGACGTGGATGCATGTCCTGGGCATCGGGAAGTCATCAAGCATTTTGAATGAATCCCTGGACTAGTCACAGTTTATTCAGCGTCAACGGTAGTTTGTGACGGCATATTCTGCTGAGTGGCGACAATGTCACGAAGATATTTTGACTGATAAGCCTCTCGAGGTTGTCATGTATGAGGCGGTATTGCGACTACAATCGGTCTCGATAGCTGAAAGCAAGTCATCTGTTGAGCACATCGTTCAGCATATCGTTTGAGCCAGACCATGCCAATGCAGCCGCGAGACAGTCCAAAAGCTAAATGCAGTCGATCGGCAGTGCTATGCCTGATCTTATATTCAGTTTGTTAAGACATGCGCTAGCCCAGTCCATACATACCGCTGGTTTATCATTGTTCAGCCAAGATAAGAGTAGTTTGTCAACATCCTGGATTCGTTCTTCAGACCTTGCTGTTTGCTGCAGTGCACATCCTAACTCATTCCATCATAGTAAGATCTTCCTCGCTCTCGTTAAATATACACACGGTCTTGGCTAGAGCTGTCAAGAACGTGTGCATTTCATGACGCCTCCTTGATTTCTTGTCACATACCTCGTTGTCTTTCTCATGCAGTATCGTATCATCGTCTTCCGGTTCAGCACAGGAGTCATTCGTATCAGCAGTTCGTTGCATTAACGCCTTAATGAGCTGTACAACACGCTGCTGCTGCTCTCTCTTCTGTTCACGCTCCATCTTCTCCACAATCTTTTCTCGTAGCATCTGTTCCTCCAGTTCTTGTATCTTTAATGCACGAACCTCCGCTACCATCACCGGTCTCAACATATTGACCCACGCACGTTTATTTTTCTTCCCTTTGTTGTCCTTGGCCTGCTCTCCTGGTCCAGCCATCCCTCGAGCCTCCGCTTCCGTTACTAATTGTCTCAACGTCAGCGACCTCAGCGGTCGTCCTTGTGCTGTGTCATAAAGTCCCAGTAACTCTCTATCGATCACCTTTACAGCTACTTTCTGTTGTTCGTCAAGTTTCGGAAGCTCCATGTCTCGTTCCTTTGCTGCTTCCACTAGTTCCTTCCTGCTCAACGTCTCCACATACGTCGCAACTGACATAAAACGACGTCCAAATGCATATCCATCATCCACAAGTCCTTCAAGCTGTTTCTTTTCCAGCTGTGCACGTTGCAATGTTGCTGAATGCAGTACATCCGTATCCTTGTCGATATCAATCTTCGCACATGCCGCCCAGACAAGCAAGAGCTCTACAACCTGATGCTGTGTCTGTAATACTAGCAGGTCGCTCCCCATTGGTTGAAATCCTTGTATACACAAAACCTGTTGTAATTCCTGTACATACAAAGACAATAAATGATCTTCATGACCTTCTAAACCTCTTGCTTTACATTCAAGTTGACGGTCGTCTGAGCCTAAAGCAATACCACAAGAATGAACAACGGGAGCTACTGTCGCATCATATTCAATCACTTTAGCACCAGAAAATCTCACACGACGACGTTTTACACGAAGAGCACGTCGAGACAAAGACGTTGATGACGACGGCATGGCACTGATTTAGCTCGCTACCAGTGTGTTTTACGGTGTTTTTTTAGATGCAGTCGGTGGTCCAAGCCGTTTTTTATCGCGTTTTTTTCAATGTCAAAAACTCGAAACTCAACTCACTCAGCTCAATTGTCATATTGTACTGACAATATAACAAGAAACAATATCCAATTCTGACATTGTACGACTATTGTTATTATTGCAAAATCGTACCAATTATATCGACACGCACACAAAACGAGACATGTCTTCCAGTCAATTCCCAACAACCACAATACTTGGTATACGTCACTTCTATCAAGATGCTCCATGGAATAATACACTTGTACGTGTACAAATACTCGGCATCTATCGCTGTACGTATGAAAGAAGAAGAATGGGTGACGTGGTCATGGCATTCGTGTGTTCTTGACCTTCTTTTTGCCTCATTTTAGACTTGGTCGATCCAGTACTAAAAGAACAATTAGGATGGCCATTTACAGACACGCGAGACGTCTTTGATGTGGTATTGAGTGATGGTCAATACAAGGTAAAAGCAGTCTTGAGTCCTACTTGTTATCATCTTGTGTGGACACGAAAACTCGGTGTTTTTAGTATGATTCAGGTACAATCTAGAGCAAGCAAACCACCCTGCTAGCAATGCTCTGAGCTATTAGTATTATCATCACGTGTGGTTGCTTGCTATTTTATTCACAAGTTGTCTTATTGTTATTGTTGTTAGGTGACGAACTATAAAGTATTGAAAGACACGAATACGAAACAGAAGCGACGAATTCTTGTGCTTGAGGAAGTTACAGTAACATCATCCAATAATGAAGGAAAGCAGTCTCCGACCAAATTTAGTGCTCGACGGAATGAGTCTCTTTGCAATGGCAACAAACTAGAATTTATATCGACAGTTCATCCACGAGAAACCGATCTACTACCTTTGATTGGACAGCGTGTGTACTATTGCCCACTCTGGTCAGATGATTATACGCTAGATTGGGCGTGCAGTTTTACTGCTGGTGTTCCAGAAGAGGATTCGCCTCTGGATGAGCTGATAAACAACTTTGCTAGTCGATATAGTGATGATCCCGATACTACCGAGGGTTGCAATGATACGCAGGAGGCTGTATCTAGCTCGGTCGTTGCGTGGAGTGTTAACCCTGAATACTGTTTGGACCTATTCACGCCTGAGTACAAGAAAGTTTTTGAAATTTTGGAAGCAGTCAAACTGATTATGCAAGATGAACAGAAGGGATCTTGCAACTTATATCCACCCATGCTTGGAGCTATTCGGGTCAAGTCTAAGCTGATGAACATGGGGGATCCAGACATTGCGAATCCATTTCCATTCGCTTTCAACGCAGTAGTCGGTACGTGTCACCTAAATTGTGGTAGCAGTTGGATGGCTGTACTTGCAACGAGTAGATGTGTAACACGTGTGCTCTTGTATGTGTTTTTTAGTGGATGCAAATGGGGCGTTTGAGGTGATGTTCTTTGGCTCCGTGTGCGCAAAGTATTTTTTGTCCATACAGGAAGGTGATCTCATCCAATTTCGAGGTTATTCGACCATCAGTCCTCAAAAGCTTCAATGGACGAAGACAACTAGTCCATTGCTATATTATGAACATGGATCATCTGGAAGTGCCCTTCATGTGCCGCGTGAGTATTATGTTTTCAAGCTTTTTCCGTGGGGGTTCGCATAGTTACCTTCTGGGTGCGTTTGTTTACAGAGAAATACTGGAAGCTCTTAGAAATGACTACGATGGGACCACATTTAATCAGCGACGACATTATTGTATCAAAGCCGCGAGCTAGTCCATGCAAGCTACCCCAGTTGCGCCCGTCATGGCTTGAGTGCAGCTTCGTGACAACCTTAAACACTCTGTACTGGGGTAAGAACACGGTAAACAGTCTAGACATGATGTACTTTGACTTTGTTGGCGTGTTATCGTATGTCGGGAAGATCTGCCGCAGCAAGCGCAAACTGAGCGAGGAAGGTTCCGAAATGACTATGTATCGGTGGGTGAAAATGATTGATAGCAGTTCATCGCATGAACTGGTTATCAGGCTCAGCGAATGTTCTCAGCCGACTGCCTTTCGGTCTCTTGAAGCGGGTGAAACCTTGATGGTAACAAAGCTTCAGTGGACTATGCTACCTGAGGCTGGCATAAGCGGCGAGCGCATCCAGTATGCAACGACTAGCGTGTTTTCCATTTTTCGCATGAACGAAGATGTGATCCCGTTCCATTCTATTGAAGAGTGCAATCTGAACATGCACTTTGCGGAAAGTGTCAGAAAATACGCTAGGTATGTCTCATGTAAAGCCACTGGAGAGAGCAAGTTGACCGCGTACATGGAAACGAACTATCATCCACGGAATCGTTTGCCAACGGATGTTAACGCGTTTAAGAAAGCGTTCGATTTGAAGGTGTACTCGTTCAGGTATGAATGATATTTGGATGCAAAACAATGATTTCACTTGTATATTTGACGGTGACTGTGTCTCTGTTTCGTTACAGCGATCTTAAGGTGTTACTGCAGCACATGGAAGCCTACGAGTATCAGCATGTCGGCTTTATTGGTCAGGTGAGCGCTATACGCAGCGATAACGACTCGACAAAAGGTGGACGTTCAGTTTTGCTGGAGCTTAACGAAAGCAAGAACATTGATCAAACATTAGCCGTGGCAGTGACCATCAATGAACTATACCAGACGACATGCATGAAAGGAAATGTGGAAAAGGTGACCCCACTCGAGTTGCTTCCCTTGGTGCGGATTTTGCCATCTGCAATCGTTGACGATGTGTACGTTAAAGCCGTTGAAGAGAGACCAGCGCGATCCACGCGCCCCACAAGTCCGGGGTTATCGCTATCACTGATCGAAGAGTACCTGATTAGCTCTAAACGTGACTACTTCTTCTCGTTGCAGCTCTATCACGATGGGATAGGTCGCATTACTTGGGAAGTCGATGCAATTCTTGCCATGCCATGATGACCGCTGGACAGACCACAAAACAATAAGTAAATGAGGTTCATTGGGTAATGCAATCAGTTCGTGATAAGAAAACAATGCGCAAAACAGCAGTGAGGGATCCAACTGTGTATCTAACTTGACGACAAACCAAAGTGAGCACCCAACGGGACAGCAAACGGTGCACATCTACATTACACGTCGATTTGCGTTCACAGCAAGTCAATATTTTCGCGTATGTCCGTTCGCGTTATGGTGCATAGTGGACCAGAAGGCTTTCGCAAGTATAGCAGCGCTTATCGCCATTGCCGCAAATCCTCTAGACGACAAAATAAAAGATCTCCATCTCTATTGGACTACGTCTCGGATGGGGCCATCTACTCGCTTATAATTCACCTAGCCTGTTCATCATCTGGTCGACCCTTCAAGCGGTCAATCAGCGTCTTAACTTTCCGATACTTTTCCCGCTCACGACTAGACGCACTCTTTTTCTTGCCAGTATAGTATTCACTTGTGCTGTGAATCTTGTAGCCGAATACCCGTGGCACGTATACCTGCGTTGGCGGTGGCACCACAAGGTGGGAATGCGTCAGTAGGAACACATGCGGAAAAGTCGCACCAAAGTAAGCGCCATCGATCTCTACCAAAAACAAACAAGAAACAAGCTTCGTGAGGCATCCTGACACCATAAGGCTGTTAAAGTAGCACGTACGGCCCGCTCGTTGCGATTTGGGGAAGAAAATGTCACGACACTTGGGACAAAACACGTTAACAGTCGTGTGTCTCGGTACATCCGACTGCCCGACAGGCAGCACGGGCTGGCCTTGACAATAGACACGATGACAACGACCAAAGTCTACATTTTGGTACTTGTCTAACATGGCGGTCATGCCCTTGGTAGTCAAAATGTAGCGAGCGTGAATGAGTCCGTAGAGCATCTCAGCCGCTGATTCAACCATTTCTTGCTGAATTTGCGTAAGATTTGTGTCATTGGGTGTCTCAATATCCAAGATAATGTCGAGTGCATAGTCATAATATGGCACAATGCTGCTAAGTCCTGTCAGGTTAAAATCATCCTCAATATACCCCTCGTCCACTTCACATAAAAAGCTATTCTCACGAAGAGAGCAAAACCACGCAATCCAGCTCGTCTCCTCTTCCTCACTTCCGTCTACGTCGTTATCTTCATCATCATCATCATCATCAGGATCCTCCAAAGCACTCGAGTCCTCACTGTCTTCTTGTTCTTCTTCTTCTGAGACACTAGCAGCAAGTGCTGCCTCTGATACACGCATTTCCTCCATATGTCCAAACATCCGTTCCATCTCTGTCTCTTCCACTGTTTGACTGCCATTTATTGTATGGTCTACTGCTGTTAAAAGACTCATAACAATGTTTTCTTTTGACTGTGAATAGTGAGGTGTCGATACGTCTATTACGGGTCAAAATTACTGCAAAAGAAACACCAGCGTCTCAAGATGAATGTCGTATACGAATAAAGATGTCAAGTATAATATCAAGCGAGATATCGTGGACTACACAGAACGTCCGTAATCCAATGAGAAGGTCCGCCGTTTGCTTTGCTGACCGTCGGAAGCTTTGATGAGTGAGAGGTTCACGAAGCGAACTTAGTAAAGAATTATCGAACTTAGTAGTTGAGGTATGTAGCCATTTTAAAAGAAACCCACACAGATGGCTACAGTGGACCATAATGACACCGTATCATCTTTGGACCAGGATGTTGTCGTCAGGAATGAAAGCGAGTCAAGATTCATGCAACTAATCAATGAGAAGGAAATGGAAGAAGAAGTGGAGATCGAGGAAGTCGTTGACGATGAATCCGTGCATATTATTGGAAGACTTTACCTCGGATCCATTGATGCAGCAAGGAATCTGACGGGGATTGAAACGATTACGTATTCATGCAATACTTGCATTGATTGGACAAGGACAAGAAGATGATGTTGATGCAGCACGATTCAGTCATCAATCAGTTAGATTTAATGTGGAAGAATATACGAAGCAGCAGATGACGAGAACAATTATCGAGCTTGAGGATTCGAAGGATGGTGATTTGTTGCGGAGAATACCTGGAATATTGGCTACACTTGAAACGATCATGTAAGGATACTGTGTCATGTCAACAAATGATGTTTGAGTGGCATTTTGTATGTGGTCTTAGGTTGTTGAGATTTGTTCGTGTGTGTTTGGATGACTTGTGAGGTAAAGAGTAAAAGCAGAGCGGGATGAGACGAATGTGCTCGTGCATTGGTACGCAACTTCAGATTGTTGCAATGATCTTATGCTGAATATCGTCTGCTGCTTGGCTATTTGTACTGATGATATGGTCATATTTCATTTACATGCATTACAGCATCGCTGGAAGATCGCGCTCTGTTTCAGTCGTAGCAGCATATATGCTTGTCAGTGCACCAAAGCAGAAGAGTGTACAAGATGTGGTCGATCAGATCAGGTAGAAATGGCACTGGATTCCGAAGACGCAACGATGTTTGGCTGACACTTGTATTTTTATACAGAATCATTCGTCCTTGGGTTGAGATCAATGCTCATTTCATGCAGGATTTACACCTCTTTCATGCCGTACTCGGGTCAACAAACGAAGCAAAGCTGAGTGCTGAAAAAGCTGCTTTGCTAACAGCTCGATCATTCCCACGACTCGACTTTAGTGCGAACCTCGTGGATAAAATTCTTCAAGGCACAAAAACGATCACAATGCGTCTCTTATCTGACATAGACGATGACCATGATTCGGATTTGAGAGATATCTTTCCATACGCTGTGGTTACAGCAACAACATCGAGTACATGCACCGACATGTTGCAAACAAGAAGGCAATTCGCCTATTTGCGGATCGATCAGATCGAAATTCGCGAGTTGAGTGCCATGGATCAAACGATACTTCACAAATCTAGTTTCGACTCAAGTGAAGAACTTTTGGCTGTTCTAAAGCAGTTTTACCCACACGTGACGTCTGCATCTCTACTGCTTGTGATGCATTTTCACACTTTGTACCCATAACGTTTGTACATGTAGCCCTTTCATATGTAGCCATGTAGTATTTTCGCGGTGGTTTAGAAATATCCGATATTTCTATCACGAATCAGAATACACTTGAAAAAAGCCATTTCTAATTTAGCGAAAAAATCATGACGTCTGCTGGGTTTTATACACTTGAGAATGGGGCTCCAGAACTACTGGAGATTTTATACAAGACTGTCAATGTCGATATTGATAGCTCAATACCTGTGTATTTGGGTGATTCTCAAAGGGAAAATATTCATATTGAAGCACATGCTGATCCTGTGGAACATAAAGGAATCCGTCTACATCATTGGGTTATTGGGTCGAATAAGACCCATATTACACCTATTGAGATTGTGGATGAGTATGATGTATATTGAATATAATTATTATAATTGCTAATAATAATTATTGAAGATAATAAAAGCTGATAATGTTATAACTTATTATTGTTTATTTGTTGGTTTAGAATTGGTAAAGTGGCCAAGCTCACGCCTCCTGAGATGGTCTTTGGCAAGAATCAATTGATAGTATTCCATGAACCATCAGGAGTATGTTATAATTTCTTGGCAGTTGAAGCTCTAAAAGGTGCACACTTTCCACCACCAATTAGTGATCAAGCACAGGACATTGTGGCCAATCAGCAGCTTAAGGTTGCGAATGCTAAGCATAACATTAACAAGTACGTATCATGCTCTTGGAACTTGTTTGTATTGAGACATTAATGAATAATGCATGGGGTTGTTTGATAGGGAAGAAGTCAAAGAATTGGACATTACATATGACTGGACGTACTCAACTGACTACAAGGGATCGTTGCAACGTTTCACGAAAGCAGACGGTTCACCTCTTACGTTTACGAAGAGTAAGGAAGAAGTAAAGCTCGAGCTTACGACCGAGCGCATTGATTTTGAAAAGCTCAGGGAACGAGAACCTATTCTTTGGTTTGAAGATGTTGGTCTGTATGAGGATGAACTTCATGACCATGGTACTTCCACCATGTCTGTGAAAGTGGTGAGTACATTAGTCCGCCATGAGATAGTTGTAGCCGCATATTACAATGGTCTGATACTATTTTCACTTGCAGCGCGTCATGCCGTCAGGATTTTATGTACTTTCACGCTATTGGATGCGTCTGGATCACGTTATTGTGCGCTTGCACGAAACAAGAATTCACCACCTCTTTGGCAGCGACCACTTTATCCGTGAATATACGCGGAAAGAAGAGCAATTCGACACGCTGTTCTCCAAGGGCCACCCGAAGAACATGGCCAACTACACGAACATTGACACTTTCCAGCACCTTTTACCTGTGCGCGAAGCTGTGTTTGAAAAGGTGTTGCTGCAGTAGGCTAACTAGCGGTCGGGCTTAGCTTAGAATGCATGCAGAACAGCAAAAAAACGGAGCCCCCGCGATTAAATATTTTGTACTAACAATATGGCTGATGCTGCTTATGACAAGCAGCTCCACATTCCTATCGATAGCCAGTGGGCACGTCTGATCCCATAACGACAAAATTGTCTGCTTTGGAGGAGAATTTGATTGTTGCGAACACCGTTCGAGATTGGAATGAAAACCATGAGACCCTCCTAGTATTTACAGCGTATGCAGGTGCTTTCATCTCTACGACCTCTTGTGCAATGCCAGCTCCAACCACTCGACCAGGCGCTGTCTCACCGTAATCAATGGTCACATCATCATCATCCGTTTCTCGTGGATCCAGCAGCGCTTCGTCGTTCAGAAAAAACGCCACCTCATGTGTATTCATATCCAGATACACCCCAACGGTATCTCCCGCAGCAAAAGATTGAACCCTACATATTTCTAGCCCGCTATGCAAGATAAAACCAGTAGCAGCGTATCCTACTGCTTCCTCTATAGCTCCAATTTCAAACGCTTCGGATGGCGCTATGCCAACGACGACATGTTGAGGATCTACCATGTGCTCGATTAGCACTTCCCAATAATGACGACCACTGGTATAATACAAATGTCGTAGTACTTGCACTTTCTTGGAAGAAGACGATTGGCAATCGTCACCTGATCAAAAAACACACACACACAGAGAGAGAGAAGACACCTGACACGTTAATTTTCCTATACATGTAAAACGACCAGGAGACAAAAATGACAACGTTTGTGTATTTGTGTGTACTACCAGAGACTAACAATTCAGTAGGATAGGTTAATCCAATACATTCGACGAGTAGATATAATAACAACGAAGAAGTACGTACACATCGCCATGTCGTTGTCTAGAGCGATGCCACATGTAGAAGAGTAACAATATCTCTGTGTCCGATAGTAAAAAAACAAACAGTTAGAGAACATTAACGGGGTCTCTATTGTAGATATTTATAATAAACAGATAATAATAATAAAGAGGTTGTTGTCAGCTGAGATTCTCAAAAGATTGTATCCTGATTCGTGTCTGTAGTGACAAATAGCTTTCGCTATTAAGATCGCTTTTTAACCAATCACAACTTGCTTGCACACACGACATGGAACTGTCAAGTCACTGCTGCGTGTCCCAGTGCATGATGATAAAGTTGAATAACATTCTCAACGATAAGAAATCATTGCAACAATTGATCAATGAGCTGTATCATCCATTGACGTCGCAGGTGGAGCACTCGAGGTAGAAGAGACCATCACTCTTGATCCAATCAGTGGCATGGAAAACACGATTTTAGCCAATGAAAACACGACAATAACGACTACAACTACCAATCAAGCCATTATCTCACATGCGCATACGACGGCTATAACAGGCGCCATCGCAGGTGCAAAACAACGTGGGGCGGAGTCATATATTGACATAATTGTACGAAAAAGATAAGGAATGCTTGTGTGGTATTGATTGTAGCATATGGAAAACTATTCATGAAGAAAAAGAAGGATACATGGAGGAGGGATGACACGTCATCCTGTCAACGAAAGACTTCTAGTACTGTATCGATTGATATAAATGAAGATGACGAGTTTTGTATGGAATTCAACTGTAAAGGACCAATTGGAGAGAGAAGAAAAAGGTGTTATTGGGTACAAACTCACAAGTCTCGGGATGTTATTTGATGTGGGAAGTACTGTCATTTACAAGCCTTTTCTTCTCGTGGTGTATAGTGAATAATTAATACAGTAATGGACTGGATACATCAAGTAGAAAGCCTTCTTGCTGCAAGAGATGAGCTCATACGACTGGAATATGATGTTGTTGGTATAAGTTTTGTCATGGCGATGGATACAAATGTGCTACATAGCTTACAAGTGGCACAAATGACGTTTTGCTCTTTGTGGAACTCTTCTGATGGTGGGAAAGTCAATACGTTGCGGCTGGTCAATGGGTTCAATCATGAACGAACGGACATTTGTACATGTTACGAGACGGAAAGTAGTAACGAACAAGGTTCGAGGAAACGACCACGAGCGAAATGTAACGTCGATATGGTTCTGGATCCTTCAATGCAAGTGTTGTTGAGCCATTGCACAGCAGAGTATCAGGTATGAGTTGAGAGAGGTGGGTCAATTCGTGGTACAGCTGTGTGTTTGTTGGGTCTGGTCTGATGATAGGCCAACAATCCGAGTGAAGACCGTAGCGCGAATATTGTGAAGGCGACGGATGCTGGCGTTCAAATTCATGCGGTATTCGACGATCACGGCGGCTCCAGGGCAGAACAGTAAGTGGACTCAGAACATACGTGTTGTGTGATTGCGCCTACTAACAATGGAAAGGTGCTGCGTGTAGACACCTCTGCACCTCGCTTTGCCAGCACATAATCGCAAAAGTTACGTCCAAAAACTCTAGCGACGAGATTTATGCTATCGACAATAGCGCATTTTCTCGTTCCGATCAGGAACTGAAGCAGTCGCTCTTGGCTCTTCCTCCAGACGTCCATATGTCAAAAGACTACTGCAATGCTGGATCGTGCGCGGTCATTGCTTTGTTTATAAACTCGGTGCTCTATGTTGCGAACGTGGGAAACTGTGCTGCTGTGCTAGGAAAAGTGAGTGACGAGACTCAAGAGCTTAAGGCGATTGAAGTATCAGCTGACCATTCCTGCAATAATCCACATGAAATGAAACTTGTGGTTGAGTGCTCTCACGATCAAAATGCTATCAGGATGAGCAAAGACGATCAAGCTACTGGAGCAGGCATCATCGGCGTCAAACGCGTAGCCGGAAGTCTGGCAATAACACGCGCGTTTGGTGATTTCTACCTCAAGTGTCCAGAGCTGAGTTCGGCACCTTTCAAGGTAAGTGGAAAACTTTCGTGTCATTGTTAGTTGTTGTGGGGTCGTTTGGATAATGGTAATGTCTGCTGCGTGGCTGAATATAGAGCAAAGTACCGTACATTACGTCAGAACCCAGCATTACCACCGTGCACATGGATGGCAGCGAAAAGTATGTTATACTAGCAAGTGACGGCTTGTGGGACGTCATGACACCGCAAGAAGCTGTCCATTTGTGAACAAGTTTGGTACGGTGATGGCAGTTTGTATAGACCTGAACGCACCCAACAACGACTAATTATGTGCTCGGTTGTACACAGATCTGGAGCAGTCGTTGTTCTTTGCGACTGCTGGTGCTGCTCTCATTCATGCTGCTCTGGAGAAGACTGCGCATAGAAATGGGATGATGGTTCACTATTGATGTCGATGCCACATGACCTAGAACAGAGAAGTTTCCATGATGATATCACATGCACTGTTGTCTATATCGACCATTACAACCCACAATACAAACAAGAGTGTAAGTAAGGTTTGATTGCAAGCTTTTCTGGCGTGGTGCTGATATTGATATTCACATGTTTGATGTAATGAATAAATTGTGGTGTAGACAGGCTACTCACACGATGAAATAAGCGCGAAAAGTCTGCTTACGTGCACGTACGTACCTAGTAAATGAGCTTCTTTGCTTTGTCGGGAAAGATCCAATTGCTTCATAGACAGTGAGCGTAATCTGCAGCTTGTCAGCTCTTGATGAAGTCACGAGCCAACGCTTGCAATGCTTTGCACGCTTTTGATATGTAGATAACGCTTACACTCCTCGACAAGAATGCAGCAGAAAGTGACGCCAAGTTTAGTTTACAGCAAGTGTTTTACAGTTGAAGATCTCTTGAATTTGGCAAGTTGCATGGGGCCATCTTTTCAAAGTTTCTTGTGATCAACGTTGTTTGTGCTAACAACTTGCCTACATTTTCTCCAAGCTAACGCTACGAGGTCACGGGATTGTTTACAACTTTTGTTTGCTTGTCACATGGGCTGATCTCGTCGACCGCACTGCTTGTTATCGTGGAAGTAAAAGTCCGCAAGTGATCGACATGACTTACGACATGCATGGCCAGCTTATCTTGCCATCGGCTGTCAAAACATGAAGTGCAGCAATCCCGTATTGATACCAACGAGTCGAGCTTACTTTGGAACTCTCACTCAAATGTTACAACTTCATTTCATCTTGATGCGAGCATTTAACTCAATGACGACAGACGCAAGGTTTGATTAGAGTGTTAGATGAAGCAGTCTTCTCAATGACAGACGGAAGGTTTGATTAGAGCGTTAGATGTAGCAGTCTTCCGCAGCATTCCCTATTAGCTGTGCCGCTAACTGCAATGATGTTTGTCCCTCTGCAATCGTTCTTAGGACAGTCCCATTCTGTAGTCATGCAATCAGCAAAGCAACTGGATGCAAAACCACTTCAACACCATGCAGAGAAGAAAGCAACAACCCATCGTCCAACACGTTTTTTATCACTGACTTCCCCCCCTAATTTAATCGTCAGTGGCTAGCTTATGGTACACGCGGCCCGTGTAAAGCATTGTAAGAAAAGAGATACCGATCAGTGGCACGAATGTCCAGTTAAGCACATACTGTATGCCGGGCAAACCTACGACTGTAATTGCAACGTCACCAATAGCCCGCCCAAACGTGCCAGCTTCTGTGGCCAACAATCCCGAGTTGAATGTGCCCTTTGCAAAAGACTTCGGGATCGTCTTGGACAATAATGACATATTCACGCCTTCCAACACATTCGTGGACATAAAAATAAGCACACCTCCCGCGACAAACTGTGCGACAGAGTAGTGCCCATAGTTCACGATCACGCCTACACCGACAACCATGGCGACTTCAGAAAGCACAATCATTTCTCGATCTTCGTAGCGAAAACTCATCCAACCAACAACCAAGTTTGTTGGGAACATGAGAAGCCCTAGTGCAGCAAGGTACATGCCGTTGTTGCTGGAATTCCAGTTGAAGTGGTACATAGCGATTGTCGAACTGGCCGTAATAAGACACTCCAGCACCAGCTTGAGAACGATATAGATTAAGAGTGATGCTACCACGGGCACATTGTGCCAAAGTGAAGACAGGTTCGAAGGGCTACTTACCATCGACGACGGTCGTGACATCAATGGCGTGGCTTCTCCCATTTGGGCTAATGCTGCCGACACGCTCAATTTGTCCATTCCGTTTTCCAGCATCGAACGTCGACGATCCAAAAAGCGTCCTCTCTCCAAACGATCGGGTTCCTTGAACCAAATCAAAAGGGCAAGGAGATAGATGGTCCACAAAACAAACATAATCCAGCCTGGCAAGGTTTCTGTCGTAATTTCCATACCGACAAAACGGTAGTCAGGAAGATAGTGGAGTCCAGCAGCGAGAGCTGGACCTGCTGCCATGCCAAGCGCACTAGCGGTCACAAATAGTGCAGATGCCTGCGTGCGCTCTTCACGAGAATAGTTGTCGGCAATATAGCGGCGATTGATAGCGCGGGCACCGCCAAAGCCATTGAGCATACGACCAGCCAAAGCCATAGCGACACTATCGTATGAAAGCGCCATACCATACATCAAATTTCCCAGGATAAGACACACGGTTGCAAAGCTCAGCGAGTTCTTGTATGAGCGATTGGCCCACCAACTGTACAGCACCGCACTTGCGAGAGAAGCCACAGGTGTCATTCCCACAATAACTCCACTCATAGAAGCCTCGGCACCCAACTCGGCTGCGTACTTGCTACTTGTCGGAGCTACAATATAGTAGTTGGTCATGTATAGGAACGTGTTTAGGATATTGAGCATCCGTGATGGCTCCGACACCTGTTTCAGCCGCTTCAGCATGTCATACGTCTCATCATCTTCGTCTTCCGAAGAATCAGCATCAAAAATAAGCGAGCGTGCAGCCACCGCCTTCACGTACTGCGTCGAATTATGCAATCTACGACGCGCTTGTCCGATTCGACTTAGCACGGGTTCATCTTCTGAGATTTTTCGTGTCAAAGCTTTACTCGTTGCTTCTGTTGCTAACTGAACTTCCAATGTCCGTAACTTGGTCAGTGCCGAACGAATACTAGCAATAATGGCCGATATGCCTTCATCATGGTACAGCTGCTGCATATGCGAAGCCTGCGAGTCCGTCCGTGATGATAAATACGAGCCCATAATCTTGTACTCCTTGAGCGTCTTGTCATGTTTTTTCAATATTTTCCGTATACCGGTTGCATTAAGCTCTACAAAATGTAAAAGCTGTACTAACTCATCACCCACATTTCTGTACATGTCGGCAATGGCGTGCATTGCTTCAAGATCACGTGGTACAAGTTCCAATTGCTGTGTACGAAGTCGCTGTAACGTCGTGGCAAACTCTCCTTGTTTAGTCAAAAAGAACAAGACAACACGTTCAATCTCAGAGTCCAATGCATGTTTAAACTTTTCCTGCTCTTTCTTCGTTTCTTCACGTTGAGCTTCCGCTACTTTCCGTAACTTTTTCTTCAGTTGTTTATATTCAAGATAATGCCTGTTCACATATGATGATACAGATAGACATATATACACCTGTTAATAAATATATCTATATATATAGAGAAAGACAATGTAGTCTGTCATATACTATACATATAGATTTACCCTTTCCACTCTGGTCGTTGTGCTGCGACTAATTTCTTGGCAAATTGAACCATTTGATTGTATCGTTTCTTGTGAGCTCTTCTGTAGGTTGAAAGTCCAAGAATGACGTACTTTAACGATGAGTGGTATATAAAGACGATTTGATTGGTTATAATAATGTAATTAATGACTTGAATATCCACCAATTGATTACGATCCAGAAGCGACAGGACCTTGAGCTAATTATATCGTTGATGAGAATAAGAATTAGACTTGATCTTTTGTTGGATTAAATTTGTGACAATTTTATTATACCGCCCTGTTGGTATGTCTATATTGTTATATCACTATTTAGAGATGTTCAGGTAGTGTCATTTTATTATACCTGCTGCGTTATGGGTCAGTATGACGTGATCAAGAAAGACAAGAGGTGAAATAGTAAAGAGCTGACGTCCCATCGTGCACTTGACATTTCTTGCTCATCTAGATTGGTAAACGGACGAGGCATTTGACTGGAAAGGCATTTTATCCATGCGTTGGCGTCTTTGCAAATGGCTAGCAAACCACAGTTGCAGCAGGCGCACATGCAGAGGTTATAAACATGCACCAAATCAATAACAACACCCGGTCAATGGCTGTCAACGGTGCGCAGTTGGAGAACGACATTACCACTCCAGATGATCAACTACATAAGAATAGGGTGGATAGTCCTGTACACGCGGTTGCTCGCTCATCAACACTTCAGGGCGCTTGGGCACATCGTAGATCTTATGACAATTCAGCTCGTTAAGATTCTGCATTCACACAAACGTGTTAATGGTAAAAATCATGTGCTACTCAGATCATGCATGATATTCTTGTTCAGATCCTTGAAACGACTAGACATGTACAAATTCTTCATTAGCAACGTTGTTCTATTTAAATCCATATGGGGGCCGATACATTTCAGCCTGCATGCAAAGCAGTTTACCGGTCATATGACCCATATGTACTTCCATTTCAAAACATGCTGTCTGCAGGAGCAATCAGCGACTGTACCCACGTCATTATCACCATAGAAAGCGCGGCGCACTACCAGTTGTCTTAACCTGTTTTCATTCTAGACCTCAGTCTGTGGAGCATTTGTATTAGCAACGCACAGAGCAGGCAGCGCCTTTTCGTCAACCGTTCCGTCCGTGGTCGTGCTTTTACATGCCACCAGCTTCAAACGCCATTTCCTCTCACGATTATGCCCCTCTATACCTTGCAATAATCAGTGCTTTCGTTTGACCGTCGAAGGCATCGACATTATTAAGACTAAAGCTTCTCTTGATAGAATAAAAACTTATTCGCCCTCGAATAAAATGCTACAGCTATATTTAGCCAATCCACTGGCACCAGCTTCTCAACCAACCAAACCCATTCATTTACGTTGCCATGACGCCCGAGGCCACGAATGTTAAGAAGCGCAAGGCACATGACGTCACCGACTCCATGTCTCCAACGACGCTTCAAGTGCATCGTTGTCGTTTTGTAGATTGGATGCCTGCAGCTATCCATGTGCTGTGCTTTAACGCTGCAGGTGACCAACTTGCCGTGGCTCGAGCCAATGGCGACGTGGAGATCTGGTGTGTCGACCTTAAGTGGCACCTCAAATTCGTGATCTCCGGCTCAGCTTTAAGTCAAGTGTCTGCTCTTTGCTGGGAACCTGAAAGCAATCGTCTTTTTGCGTCATCGCTGGATGGGACGCTTTGGGAAATAGATTTTCAGTTGTTGGGCAAGAAGAACGTGATGGACTCGAACGGTGGACCTATTTGGAGCATGGTCATGGACACGGACAGTCAGCAGCTGGCTGTGGGATGTGAAGATGGACGTATTCGCCTCTTTTCGTACTCGGACAGCCATCAGATCTACTTCAGTAAGGGCTTTCTCACTACTGGTGGACGCGTTGTGTCCCTGGCCTGGCACGCAAAGGCACAGAAGATTTTTTCGGGCAGTGAAGCAGGTGTTATCCACTGTTGGAATGCAGTCACAGGACGTAGTGAGTCGCGGATTACGCTGGAGAATCTAGCCAAGCAGAAGACCGTCGTCTGGTCTCTCATCGTGCTGGACGACTTGACACTTGTGAGTGGAGACTCAATGGGCAATCTCAGCTTTTGGAACGCACCTACCGGCACGTTATTACAGAAGTTCTCGCACTTGACTGCTGACATTTTGGCTATTTGTGTAAGCAAGAACAACAACTTGCTGTACGCGTCTGGCGTAGACAATCAAGTCGTCGAGTTTTGGCGCTCGGTCGCGGATAGCGGGATTAGCACTTGGGCGTACTCGTATAGCCACCGTGGACACAGTCACGACGTGCGTGCGCTAGCGCTGTCTTCTCATAGTAGACCGGTGCTAGTTTCTGGTGGGATTGACACTCAGTTGGTATGGTATTTTGGCAGCAAATTCAGTTCCATTCGCCCTGCCAAGATTGCTTCCATGCCGTATCCGCATTCAATTGCGCTGGCGAAGGAGAAGCGCGTGTTGCTGGTGCAGAAGTCAACCTCTCTGGATTTGTGGCAACTTGCCACGCAGTCAGCGGCCAGCAGTCTGATTATGCAAAAGCACAAGCTGCTGCTACAGCTGAACATGGGCGATGCTTTGAACTTGTCTTGTTCAGCCATGACGTCGAGCGCCAACTTTGTAGCGTGCTCGAACTCAAAAGAGTTAAAGCTGTTTGAGCTGGATACTGAGCAAGACTTTTTGCCAAAGAAGGTCACGTCGTTGCCGTGTAGCGTGACGGGGCCGGCGCGCGTGCTGGCTTTCTCGCCAGACTCAACCCGTCTGGTAATCGCGTCGTCATCACATCAGATCCGTGTGCTGGATTTGACCAAGATGGAAGTTTTGAAGACATTCAAGGTTTCTACGCCGGCCTGTGCAGATGAGGATAGTACTAGTATGCCATCTCCGTTCGTTTCGCTGACAATTTCTTCGGATGGGCAGTGGCTTGCCACGGGTGATGCTTCGAACAATATTGCCATTTACAATTTGGATTCGATGCAGTTCTACTGTCAGCTGCCTCGCCCCAGCGAGATGCACACTAATTTGGGCTTCAACTCATCGGGTAAGACTTTGGTCTCACTTGTGTCCAACAGCTTTGTGTGCTACGATGTGGAGACGAAGGGTCTTTCGGAATGGTACCGTCAGAATCATGAGCAGTTCCCTAAGGAGCTTGTAGAAGGCCGGAATATCAAGGGCATGGCGTTCGACCCTGCGAAACCGGACTTGCTTTACCTGTACTCACAGGTGAGTCTTTACCAGATTAACATGGGGAAACAGACGAACCAATCCGCAAAGATAACGTCCACAAAGTCTCGTCGTCGTGCAATGAGCGTTGGAACCGAGTCAGATGGCAAGAACGATGCAGCAGAAGGCGAGTTAGTGGAGCTGGAGGACGGTTTTTGTCGTGTAGTCAACCGCTACCGTCCGTTGTCATTTGTCGACTTTGTCGCGGAAAATGAGGTGATCATTGTAGAAACTCCGTGGCTGAAGGTGCTGAGTCGCTTGCCTGGTGCTCTTCACCGTCATAAGTATGGCAAATAGAGACATAAATCCGTATGATAATGCTCCAGACCTATGTATCGTCTTTATCTTTGCGTTTGTTTCTTCCTCTAACCGTCGGATGCACGCAGTCACAATTTCTTGCTCGTATCAGTCTTCGTTCTCCGAGAAATCCTGTCATTGTCCATCCTTGCATTCTACTAACAGCAGCGCATCGTCCATTTGATTTTCATGAACAGCAAACTGTGTACCACAAGGTAGCAAGCACGTAACATCACATACGCGAAACAAGTGTCATCGAGTACAGAAAGTTGTATGACAAAGAAAGCAGTTCACTCGGCTGCTGCCACTACTATTCTTTGTAGACGAGATGCCACAAAACAGTGACGTCAGCAGTGCTGAAATCGCAAACAATAACATCAGCTTCTGCACTGGCATCTCCACTGAGTACTTCAAAAGCGATAGAAACGCGGCATATACGCAGCTCCATATGCGTGTCCAACGTGGTGAGCATAACTTCTCGCTCAGTTTGTCTTACCAATTGTTCATCTTCCTCTTCATCTCAATGCACAAGGATAAACAAAGGCAATTGTAGTGATGGCGTATGGCAAAGAGAGAAAAGTGCGGCCATGTGAAGCCCATGACGGTACCGGATGCTCGAAAAATCAATCAATTGAGGATCTGTTTCGACCAGTCTGTGGCTGTCTGTCCGCGCAACTGCTGCGGATGTTGAAGTAAAGAGAAACTTCAATGACCATCACTCTGCTCTGTTTTTGAAATATTTGAATTTTTGGATAATAAATTAGCAATTTTGTTGTGCAAAGCGCCAATGGCTTCGCTACCGAGAGGTGACGAACGATGCTGAGGATGATGCGTGATGTAGACGTTGAGGTTGATTGTATGTATGTGCGTGTGAATGTGGATGATATGTGAATAGGAGCAATCGAAAAGCTGATGCGTGAGGCGGTGGGTGACGATGTAATGATCTCGAAAGAGACGATCGATTGGGTCAACGAGTGCGCAGGCGGTAAGGCGACCGACCCTTACAATTCACTACTTATGATTAGTAAATTATTGATTGGGTTGAAATTGTTTTGATTGCAGAGTTTCTGCAGCTGATTGGACAAGAGGCTAATACTGTTGCAGAAACAGCAGCTACAAAGGAAAACTACCGCATTTCACACGAGCACGTGATTATTGCGCTCGAGGTAACTTATGCGAACGATAGACTACTATTAACAATTGTACGGGGCCCTTCTACTAATACTCTTGCGGTATGGTGATACAGAACCTTGAGATGCAGCGCTATGCTGATGAAATCAAAGATCTGCAAAGCTCAATGGAGCTTGCAACACAGGTAAGCAAGGACATTCCGCAGCTGTTTGATCAGCGTTATATTCCATGTAAATGTAACGCCATTTGTCGCTGCAGAAGAAAAAAGAGCGAACAGCTTTGCGGAAAATGGCAACACAATCTGCCTCACGCGACGAGTTGTTGGCTGAACAGACGGCATTGTTCAAACAAGCATCGTTGAAGGCGACGAGAGAGGGATGGTAAGAGTATGCTGGACCATAAAGCTAGACAACTACAGTTGAATGGTAAGCGGCATTGAGACTGCAATCATGAGCCAACTTCGTTCTTATTGTTGCTATAGGTGAGAGAACTAACAGACGGACACGAGCATGAAGTGCGTTTTGTTGACACAATTCACTTGAGTTCAACAACAACGCCCCGGTGATCCGACGCGTATACACGACTGAATCGGTGCAACATCCCTACATCCTCTGAAAAACCCTTGGTGTCTTCTGTAGGTTCCTGACCAATGATCTTGCACTCCTTGACCTGGCCTTTGCCACGATACAACACAAAGTCAATTCGCTTCGACGGGTTGTCACTGGAAAACGTAAACTTAGAATGACGATCCTTTACGTCCGTTGACCGAGTCTCAGCTTCTTGATTTGCCATCAACCATGCGTCCTTCATATCCGTTGTCTGACCAAACAGCTCTGCAGTACCACTGAGGAAACGAATCCCGAGAGACTGTGGCTCCGAATTTAGATCACCGAGAAGCACCTGCGTTTTACCCTGACCTTGCTGCATGTACTCCCAGATCTCGACCATTGTCTGTTCCCTTGATCGTTCGCTTAGTGATAAGTGAGTCACATACACATCGATTTCGCCCCAGTGCGGATAATCGATCACCGCATGGAGGCATAACCGCTGGTGGGAGTCATTTGGATCATTTGGGTCGCGACTGAGCAACAAGTAGTCGGTTGCAACGATCGGATGCTTTGAGAAGATAGCTGGGCCCTCTTCAATGCGTTCGTAAGGCTTATCTACGTTCAAATAGCTCATCGCAGCCTGGTACACGTATTGATACCCTGGTAAACAATCCGCGAGATGCTTGACCTGCCCGTGATTACCAGGCTCTCCGAAGACGCCGTCATAGCGCACTTCCTGAAAACCGATGATACTGGCTTGTGCTTCAATGACGATATTTACAAGATGGTCCAAACGTTTCATATACTGATCCCACCGACGTCTAGCACCATACACGTCTGACGAAGGGTTTGTGTTCCACACATTGTACGACAAGATACGCGGTCCCGACGAAGCAGACAAGCATTCGTCTTCTCTACTGACACCACACTCGGCTGCTTCATGTAATTCTGTACTGGATGATTTCTCCAAAGGCGCAAACGTGTGATGGAACACATTGTGCTCTGCTTCGCGATCGAGTGCTACCACTATGCGATGCTTCAGGTTGAACTTGGTGTCCTCCAGCGTCAGATAATAGTTGAAACCGAACGTCACTTGACTCGTGAAGCGGAGTGTCTGGCCATCGACACCCGTGTACTCTTGCAAGATCGACATCTCCGATTCTCCGTTGTCTCCGGTTACCTTTAGCGGGAGCACAGTGGCTTGCGTCACTTTAATATCCGCTGAAACGTGGACGTTTGCGTAAGTCTTGATGGACTTTACGGCTGCCTTGAAGGCTGCCTGAATGGCCAAATCCGTCGTTATATCGGACGGAAAGATCGGATCGAGCAGGATACTACCGTATAGCAGTGCATTGCGAATGTATTTATCGTGATGCAGCTCGAAGAGATCAATGGGCTCAAAGCTCTGGCGTTTTAAGTGGATACCACCTGGCTTCGACGATAGGTACCGGATAGTGAAGGGGGCACCTCCGATGAGCGGCGGCCAGAAATCCCATTGCGGTAAGTTATTAAGTGGCAAATTTTGGACAGCAACAACTGATAAGAAGTGCAAGACGCAGCCAAGCAGTGTCGTTATAGCCAGGAGGAGCGGTGTGGACTTTGCCATGATTTTGATGCTTCAGATGACACTGGCAGTATACATTTATTTTATGAAATCACAATATTTTACATAAACTTTACATTATGTTACATTACATTTACATCATTGAGCTGATGTCTACCACATCGAATAACATCAAGTTTACTCTCAAATAGTTGTGCAGTTGTTAAATCTTAATTAAAGTCTCAATCCAGTGAGAGAGGAGGTTTGACACCAGTCAAGGCTTTTCACGATGGACCCCCTCCCCCTCGCCTGTATGATGAAACGGTCGTTACACACGCGTAACGATAAGTTTTCTTTAACGACGGGCTCAAATTGATCGAGCGAAGAATCATCTACGGAGCAAAAGTCACGAAACGGTGCTGCAACGTCGGACTCTGCCTTCTCGAACCTACGTTGCAAATACTGTATAGGTAAACAAACGAGCAAAAGAGGGAAAGGCGACAAAAAAAAGACTTGGGTTTCTGAAATAAACAGGCATTTACGAGTCTATTAGTCATCCATTATAAACGGTCTACATCCATTCAGATTTGGAGTCATGTAAATCAAGCGATTTGCGGCAATAAAGCTTCAGTCTTAGCTGAGACTTGATATGTCAGCTGCTTTGTTGCTTTCACTTCAACTGATGATCCGAGCTCAGGCACAAGATCCATCCGTAGGCTACTACATGAATTTGTAGGAAACGACCATGGGGCAGTCAGTGTCTGAAACCGCATTTAGAAGAAACTAGCTACGTGTATTTGTTTGAAAAAGAAATGTCTATAAGGCAGTGTGTTCGACACGTCCAATATACCTATAGAAAACGAGGTACATTTGTATATATATTTGCAAGAAACGTCTGCATTCGACCACATATTAGAGTGAAACTAACAGTGTAAGATACAGCCTTAGTTCTTTGTATAATAGAGCACAAAAGCGATGTCAGCTAATTTCTGTCGCCAGTAAGTACATTGGCTAGCCTATGCACGACAGCCCCCCGACTACTACAAAATTCGGTGGCTGTAGTATTCCCTTTTTCATGGAGTCAGCGCTGCCTGCAATCGAATATTCGACCTTTATATTCACTCTCATAACAGAAAGCAGGGACTAGAACCGAAGCAAGCCGGATAAAAGTTCATTTTGTCCTATACTCCTGTATACACAAGAACTACAGTGCGACTACTATATACCTTCACAAAAACAAACAACCAACCAACCAACCATGTATACGTGGACACTAATTGTGGCCCTTGCGGCTTTCACAGACCTTACGACTGCGTCGAGTGCCGTATCCATCTATAATATTGAAAACCCAATGTTTGGTACCTGTCGTCTTAAAGGTATTACAGCCTCTAGTGAAAATTTTAGGCTCTATGCGTCCGTGTCGAATAAAGATTTTAAGCTTAACGAGGCCTGTGCACGTTGTATTACCGTCTCACGCACTGATGACCCAAGTAAGACGACGTCAGCTTACGTGCTTGATGTATGTGATGGCTGTGCATCGGGTAGTCTAAGGCTCTCAGCAGATGCAATGGCGGCACTGAAGATTGTATCAAGTGACACGACCACTCAAGTCTCGTACGCATTTGATACGTGCCCCGAGTCACTCCTGTCAGGCAATATTAAGGCTTGTATAATGGAAGGCGGCTCGTCCACATACGTGCCGTTGCAGTTTTATAACTCCAAGAAGCCCATCCAGAGTGCAACAATCGAGGGTGTCACGGCCATGTCGATCTCGTCTAATTTCTTGTTCGCGGCCAACCCTGAGTTTGCGTCCTCTGATTGGTATGAGAGCGTCAGTTTCTCAGTCACGTCGAACGACAACGAAACTCTGAGCGGCAATTTTGCATTCACTGACTCGTCTGGATGTGCTACGTCGGACGTACAGTTTTACTCGGCATCGACTTCTGGCGGTGTCGATGGAAACACTCGTGTCGGGTCAAGTGGAGCTATCATTGGCGCTATTGCCGGTGGCATTGGAGCGTTGATGATAATTGTGGGATCAGCCATTCTCATCCAGCGTCGCAAACGTTCAATGAAGGATCCGCATGATCCGGAGAATGACGTGGAGAACCAGTACCTGTCGCCAACGTCTAAACCCAAAGCTATGCCGGCTGCCACCTACCGGTCGGACCATAACGACCACCAGCCGCCGGCTTCACCTACCGCTAACTACACCGAGACGTTTTCGCCTGCTGCTAAGGCTAACGTTCCTGGATCAGAGATACGTAATATAGGCTCGCTAAATTCGTCGCCTGTGGCCGCTGTTGCCGTTCCCGCTGCGACCGTTGCTGCTTCGGCTGCTGTGAACACTCTGAGTTTGCCTGATTATTCTCCGGCCGTTTCTACGTCCAACTCGCGTGTCTTACCAGTTGAGCGCTCTCCCCCGCCAAAACCCGCCAACGTGGCCCCGACCTATGCATTTAGTAGCACTATGAGCACAAGCCCGCATAGTGTGACTATGTCGAATGTAAAGGATGTTCCTAAGCAAACTGCTCCTGTTGTGCCTTTCCAGTCAACGAACACTGATTTCTACGAGGATGATGCTGAAGAGGAGCGCTCGAGCTTTGACATAGATGACATGCGTGAATCTGAAGCCCGTGGAATGTCAACGGGCCGTATGGGCTCACAGCCATTGTTCGCTCCGTACATGACAGCTGATCCGTATGCCACCACAATGACGTCCCCCCAAAGCAGTGCCCGCGCCACGGGCTTGCGTCGTCCAAATGCGAAGCAAAACTCACTAAGGACGCCTAGCCGCGAATCAGGTCAGTACAACAATAGTCTGGCGACTTCTAACGCAGACAGCTACGCGTCAACAGCACCACGTCAGACGAACGGATCATTGGATTCAAATGGCATAGGTCTACAGTCTGCCAGTTCAACATTGGCACCAGCAGCACATGATTACTCATTCAGCCGCTCGATCAACACTGGCTCCGAGATGGACTCGCCAATGCGAGACAGTGATGCTACTTACGCTGCTCAGCACAACTCCGATCTACCTGTATCACAGCGCAGTATGGGGTCAACGCGTGAGAGCGGTGGCTACAGCCGCGAGTCCTTGAATATTCTAGGCTACCCATACTCCAAGAAGAGCGGACGACACCACAATACTACAGGTTAGCTAGCTTTCTGATGCCATGGCTGACCATGCTACTGCCATGTGTGCGCTGGAATGAGAGCAGTTTCCTGTGCGCATTTGGTCGTGGTTACATGCCCGACTAGCTGTGTAGCAGTAGCTCACAGGAAGTTGCTTACCTCCGTGACTCTGGCTGTTGCATTGTACATACTCATGCTATTGCAGAGTGCATTTTCTAATCCATACCCTGTGTATTTTTTTTCCGGTCTCACAGAAATGCAGTTTTAGGGAATTTGTACTATCGTTTTTTGGGTGGCTTTGCAAGGGACTAACAAGCAAGTACAAGTCAAACCGATTCATTGTAATCTCAAACCAAAACAAATGGAGAAACCGTTAAACGAGTCGTGTGAGACGAGCAGTGTGGTGCGTGTTGTTTCTTGTTTACCAAACATTGTGGATGTGTTGTAGGTTTTGTGCTATTATTAACGGGGTTAAGTTTGGAGTGAGCTGACATGGATCAGCCGTTGCTAGCATTCCTTCGCTTCAGTTCAGTGGTATGTATGAGCAGATAGATTTTGCTGGCGAAAATAGCAGCGCAACAGGCGCGACGACGTTTTGTTTTCCATATGCTTGAGCAGCCGTTTCAGAAAGTGTCAAGAGCGACTCGTAAGTCCAATCGAGTTACGATCTGGCGTCTTTTCGAACTTCTGTACGACACAATGGAAAGCGCATAGCGTCAGCACAGCATTGGTAGTTGTTTTTGCATTCCGCTGCATTGTGGCTATTTCTGGAGTGACGGATTGAGGATGGGTAGAATGCATTGCATTTGTTTGCCAAGAGGACAAGGACTCAATTTACTGATCGAGAGCCGAGTCAGTAAAAGCTGCTTATAACTACCGGGTGAGCTGCTCTGTGCATACGAAGTGATCTACAATGGGTTTGTGTGAATGAATGAAGCAATGATGGAATTTTACTTGCCTTCTCTATATTGAAACAGCTCGACATGAAAAACTTGTCAGTCGTAACGAGACTAAAGAAAAGCACTTCAACATGTATCATCTGTCTTAAGTACGACGACTTTACTCCTGTAATTAAATGACTGGTATTCTATTAAAGACCTGCTCATACGAAGACAAATGGCTTCACATGGGGCATTCTTAGCGCCTGTGCTAGTGCCCATCAGCAACTGCTTTGTAAACCTTCCTCATGCCTTTGTACAGACCTTTATACGTGGCCCTGAATTTGTGCGTCCGCAGTAGATTTAGCGTATATAATGGACATAGTTTTATCCTAACTAGTGTGTATGACGTAGTAGGTAGGACCTGGGTCAATAATCCTTGAGCTGTCATGGGAGACAGTGGATGGATATGTCCAGCGTATATGCGTAGGATGGATTGGTGGACTTGTCAAGGACGGAGCATTGCGCAGGTTGTAGCTATTAATTGCTGCTACTGATAGAGTTACGACACGTTTTTACCAGAACTTGTGGGCGTTTACACATGATAGCGACGTTATTGAAGTGCCAATCGAGTTTGCACGTTGTGTGGGACTTGTAAGTGTGATATAGTGGTGGATATATAGCTGCATTGGGGTTTCAAGTGGATGATTCTGCTGGTTTCTAGCTTGATTATCTAGAAAAGACGCCACAGTCATTTGTTCGAGTCCATGTGATGGAAACATTGCCAATTGCTCGACATGTAAATGTTGAACCTTGTACACCGGACGACTGGGAGTTAATTCAACTGCATGCAGGTGCTATTGAGACGGAGCTGCTACGACAGGTGCCGTATTATCAACGGGGTGACGTTTTTCTTGCATTGTGTAAACACTAGAATGTTGTGGTGATGCAATGACAGATGTGTGTGATTAATGACAAACACGTGAGCCCAATCTGGATCAATCAGTACACACTCATTCGAATCAGGGCTTCTCTCCCAGTTGGGATGTGCGTTGAGCCTTGGATGATGGTGTACAAATCTTTATTGCGTATGACCTATATTGGATTCATGCTTCTCGATGTATTTTTACAGGGAACATGCTCGATTGACACCCGTGTCGGAAATCATTGTGGCGCCAAAAGAGCGTCAAACTGAGACGACAGAGACTAGCTTGAGTCGCGATCTGTACTATGAGCAATCACCGCCTTTAGTTGTTCAAGTACGACATCAATTGTAGCTGGGCACTGGTATTTATCGTTCATTTACTAATGGTGAGCTGCTCACAGGATGATGTAGATACACTTCGAAACGATACCGTTGACGAAGTGTGGATTCATCCAGAAAGTCTGGTGATGCTTGATGGTGCAGTGAAATCGAACGCATCTTCAGATACGCAAGAAGCTCCTGCTGTGGTGCTATGGAGCTTAGAATCGAAGCGAATTGCAGAAAATAACAAGCAGACCGAGACTTCAAGGTACGAGCCTACATCTCATGTGAAGTAGTTTACCTATATACTCACTGCAGACTTTGCTAAAACTGTAGACAGAAACCATGTTGTTATGTTGCAAGACTGAAGGCCTCTCGTGGCGTTATACGTGGTCACATCGTTCTCAACCAAGGCGCTATTGCTACTTTGGGCATCACGACTCGTGCTTCTATTTATCTTCGCGTCCTAAAACTACCAGAGCTCCCACCTACTTCAGTGACATTACGCACGAATTTGGAGAGCCACGACGGAAGGTATTCTGCATCGGCTGATCGAATTCAGCAGTCATTTTTACGCTGGGCTAGCTCGGTCAAACACGGCCACATTGTTTGCTCAGGATCGGTTCTCCATTTTAATCTGGATAATGAAGAAGTCATCCGAGCAATTGCTGAAGTGCAATACGATGATGAAGAAGCATATAGCGTTGAACAGCTGGAAGGTAATGCATGGTCTCTTATAAACGCTATGTCATGTCGAAAGTCTCTGCTTACGATACAGCTTGTTTTGGCTTAGATATTCCTGTTGGTGCACTACAAAGGTATACCATTATAGGCGGAAGCAATGGTGGTCATGTACTATCGATGGACCAAGTGATTGTCCAAAACGCAGCTGGCACCCAACAAACAATCCTAGAGAACCTGAACAGAAGAGCTTCATCAACTCGAACGCTAAATATGTCGATTGTGGAGCTGTCGCGCAGCGCAAGACCCTATGCAATGCTGATAAAAGCTGTGCGCCCTATCTTGTCCAGAGATGCTTCAACAGCGCGAGTTGTGATGGGTGTAAAACCTCCTGGGTGTGCCCTGGTGTATGGTGAGCGAGGCAGTGGTAAATCAACATGTTTGCGCGCTATCGTACACGATATACAAACCTCTCTAAATTTTGCTGCTTTTGCAATGACTGCCGACTGCCGAAACTTACGAGGACTGAAAATGGAAGTTGTGAAGTCACAGCTGAGTGAGTTGTTTGAAGAGGCAGCCAGGCAAGCTCCTGCTCTGCTCGTTTTGGACAATTTGGATGCACTAGTACCTGAAGAAGAGGAGTCTGCAGGTGCAGCTAACGATCAATCGCGGCGTATTGCGGAGCTACTGCTAGTCTTAATGAATAATAACTGCCAGCGCATGCAGAAGGCCACGGTCGAGTTGAAAGCGTCATTTAAGCGAGAATGTGAGGCTATCAATGGTTTACCTGACGGACAAAAGAAAATTGCTCGAAAGAAGCTGCTGGAGACGATTGGCAGCGCCATGCAGAGCAAAAGTGTGGCTATCATCGCATCTGCTTGGTCCGATACGAGTGTCCACAAAACGTTACGAGGCTGTGGACTCTTTGATCGCCCCATTCGAGTGACTTTACCGGATACAGAGCGGCGCGAAATTGTGATACGCGGCATGCTGCAAATGAAGGTAAATGACGCGAATTTTACTGGCAAAGGAATGAAGGCTTCACGGAAACTTGTTATTGACCCTTCCATCGATTTTGGACTTCTCTCATCGCTTACGGAAGGATACAGTCTCCGTGATTTATCAGATGCCACGGATCGTGCCTTGCATCAAATGTTCAGGCGCCACACTTTACTGCAACAAACGAAGGGAGCCTACAAATTACAGCAAAGCGATTTTGAGGAAGGTATTGAAGACTTTCAACCGACGGCATTAGTCGGAGTCAATCTCTTCAAAAGCTCTATCAAATGGAGTGATGTTGGAGGGCTTCGACAAGTACGAACAGTACTCAAGGATACACTGGAACTTCCTACTCGCTATGCAAAACTGTATAACAACACACCGATCAAGCTTCCAGCCGGGATGCTGCTGTATGGACCTCCTGGGTGTGGGAAAACGCTGCTCGCTAGCGCTGTGGCGCACGAATGTGGCTTGAATTTCATCAGTGTGAAGGGCCCAGAAGTCCTGAACAAATATATCGGTGCCAGCGAACAAGCCATTCGCGATTTGTTTGCACGTGCTGGCTTGGCAGCTCCGTCAGTGCTCTTTCTGGATGAATTTGACTCGATTGCTCCTCGTCGTGGTGCCGATAACACTGGTGTCACAGATCGTTTGGTGAACCAGCTACTTACATTCTTGGATGGAGTGGAGGCGCAAAAGGTAAGCAAATGTGTATCAAACATGGCGGAGGAATTGTGGATCTAGAGACCCCTCTAAATTGATGTTACGTAAAAATGCTAGGGCGTTTACGTCCTAGCGGCAACGAGTCGACCCGATATGATTGACCCAGCACTTCTTCGACCAGGACGTCTTGACAAATCCCTTTACTGCGGTGCGTTTTGGTTTTGCAAAAGTCATTACATCGCGCATTATCACGATACTGAATGTTGTAGTTTTGATTGCAGGCTTTCCCAATGAAGAAGAGCGGTTGGATATTCTTCATGCAGTCTCAAAGGGCATGGACCTTTCCAAAGAAGCACTCGAGTACCTTCCTGAAATTGCAAGCAATCCGAAGAGTGCTCGCTTTTCTGGAGCTGACTTGCAGGCTGTACGTACTGGTATCCTTGTCCTCTTTTACTGAGTATAAATGCTAACATGTTGTTGTTGGTTGCATGTGCAGATCATGTACTCGGCGCAGCTAGAATTTGTGCACGAAAAGCTAAATGGTGACAAGTCCACGTACGTTTGAAGCTAGCGTTCTCTCCTCTTCTTGAGTGCATAACCCATTTATCGTTTGCACTGTACACTACGTTAGTTCCAGACAACTTACCAAAGCTCATGTGGAAACGTCATTCAAGAACGCGAAACCATCGACCTCCGATGCTGCTCGGCTCGAATTTGAGCGCATGTACGCTGGATTTTCCAAAGCTCGCAATACGGATTTCTCCATTGCAGAAGCTCAAGTGTCTACGACAAGTAATTTACTCAAGTCGCACATTGCACATCAACGTACAGCTCTTGCCTGACAAAATAGAACGACTAATGTAGCCATGTCATGAGCTTGTGTCTCGTTCTAAACTAAACCTGTCTTTAAGCATAGTCACTCTTTTGAATATATAACCACAAATCCTAAAGCTCACTTAATATGGTGAATATCGTAGGGCTCTCGAGTCTTCACGACCGTCGAAATGACGATGATCGTCGCTCCGACAGTAATCAGCCTAATCAATACTATGCTGGTGGTGCTACAGGTCGTGGTGGAGGTAGTGGTTTGTCCGTCATTGGTCCAGGAGGAGGAGGAAGTGACGATGATCACGTGGCAAACATCATTGGTCGGGCTCAACAGGATGCACGTACGTTAGCAGCAGGAGCGGCTAGCGAATCTACACAACCTCGTCACGTGATTACTTTCTACAGGGAAGGATTTACTGTAAACAATGGACCATATCGTGCACGTTCGGATCCAACCAATCGTCCATTCCTAGAGGCGCTTGAACAGGGTCACGTGCCACAGGAACTCGAGGGTGAAAACCGTACTGAACCCGTTGAGATTAGTCTTGTAGACAAGCGAGAAGAGGATTATGTTGCACCACCGGCTCCTGCCTATACTGCTTTCAGTGGACAGGGACAGACTATGGGCTCAACCACGTACACAGCTGAAGCAGTGGTTCAAGGAGAGACATTGACAGCAGAACGTCCAGTGATTGATGACAAGAAACCAACAACAACACTGCAACTTCGGCTCCATAATGGTCAGCGGCTGAGAGAGACACTAAACTTGGACCACACTCTTCGTGATCTACATGCAATTATTCAGCTGTACGTGGATATTTCTGGATACTGAAGGATATAGATGACACGTTACTGACGTTTTGCTTGTCTTGTTTATATGGATGGGGATGCATATTCATTCCTTCGTTTTGTTGACACAGGAATGACGCGGGAGCACAACCATACGCACTATTGGCTGGCTTTCCGCCTCGACCCGTGGCAACGGATCTAGACCAGACAATTGAGCAAGCTGGACTCAAAGGTGCTGCAATTACGCAAAAGCTCATTTAAAAGCGGTTCGAAGAGCTACTGGACTTGATAGTTTGAAACAGCAGCAGTAGCAAGTTCGTGTTCGTTTGCAACAATCATTTTACATCAATAAGTAGTTTTGGGGTTTCAAAAGAGGCTACGAATTCATTCGAGCTTTATCTCCATACAGTGAGTGGTGATCATTCGACCATGTCTGTCATAGCTTCTAAACGTGGTGGTAGCACCACAGCCAAAGCTTTTATCAAGCAGATTGACACTGCATTGCAGTCTTCCATTCGATCGGTTCCTACTATCAATGGTATTGATTGCTATCGTCTCTGGATTCAGGTATCCGTCCATCTCGTTACGAAATCGATTACTATCCGTTCCAGCATGATACAAATCATCTGCTTGTTTGATGCTTTACATGCAGGGCATTGTAATTGCTACGTCGATAGATCAGAATCAATGTACACTGGACGATGGTACTGGCGTCTTGAGACTTGAGCTCAAGATATTCCTAAAGAATGCGCCTTCTAAGGTCGACGCGCGGCCTCAATTGGGTCAGCGCTCATTGTAAGTAGTACCCATTCCCATCTTCAGTGCTGACGGATTGATTCTTCTTCTTATTATTATTGCAGGTGACTACATCATGGTCATTGGTCCTATACAAAAGGTAAAAGCTGACTCGGAGTACGGTTCTGTAAGGACGCTACTGGCGCATCAAGTTATCAAGTTAGACAGCAAGTTACAACGTGAACCAATGTGGGATCTAGAGGTGATTGAGTATTGGACATCCGTCGTGCAAACCACCACAACATCATCAACATTAGCAACATCATCGACATTAGCAACATCATGACCTTATTTAACGCACACAAAGACACGTGTTTTACAGCTGTACATGCTCATTGTCGATTCTTGATGAAAAGGATAACAAGCCTTACTGCTGTCTAGTTCGTCACCTTCTTGCTTTCTGTTTTTCTTTTCTCGAATGCTTCGCGCGTTATGACCGCCACTGCAAGACCATCAGAGGAGCGGTCTGAGCAATGACACGGAATTACTCGTCCTTGGGCTTTTGACCCGCTTTCTTGGCCTGCGACGCGGATGGCACACGAGGTGGAAGATCCTCCGTCTCTCCATCTTTCTTGTTCTCCTCTTCTTCCTTCTCGTCAAGTAGCTTTTTGTACTGCGTTACATCATCTACACCAAGCCAGTAGTCCAATACAGCTACCAAGATGGCCACAACAATAGCAATTGCCAAGATACCCGCTAGAACAGCCAAAATTGTGTGTTCTGTCGCCCATTCGATAACAATGTCAACAATCTTGGAAAGAATGCCTTCCTCTGGTACGGGACCAATGGACTCAGCCGTCTTCCAGCCGCTCTCCACATAGTCGAGGAATGCAGGGAGCGAACGTCCACCCTTGTATCGATACACTTGTCCATTATTGATATAATAGAGAGACGGAAAGCCATTCACGCCAAAACGTGAACAGACTCGACGGTGTACTGTACAGTCGACCTTAGCTACTTGCGTCTTGCTTCCATTCTCCTTCAGTGTCCGACTTAGTTTGTTCCACGTCGGTGCAAGACGTTTACAATGGCCACACCATGGAGCATAGAACTTGATAAGCCATGGTTCTTTACTCCCTAGCACTTGTTCTTCAAACAAGACCGTTGTAAGGTAAACAACTGCACTCTTCCGTTCATTCTCGTCCTGTTCCGTCATTGCAGCCTTGCGTTGCTCAATAAACTCGGCATAACTCAATACACGTTCACCAGTCTCTTGTTTATAACCTCTAGTAACAAATGCCACCATACTAGCCACATCACGACGGCCATTGTAATCATAGGCCATCCCATTAGCTACGACCTTGAGCGTTGGATATGAACCGACACTGAACCGTTCACACACACTCTTTTCCATCGTACAATCAACCTTTGCTACATATACGTCCGTGTCTACTAGATCCTCGGCCTTTGACAGCTCGTCAATAAGTGGCGCTAGTTTCTTGCAGTGACCACACCATGGCGCATAAAACTTGATAAACCACACACCAGAACTCGTCTGATGGTCAAAAGTGGCTTCATTTAGAACTATGGATTCACCTTTTATACCATGACAAGTATAGGTTAGAAATGCTAGTAAGAGAGCGAGATATTGCATGAAGAAGAAGAGGATGAAGAGGACGATGAGGAGGTGGAGAGTGGAAGGATTTAATGTAGTGTTAGAGTCCGAAGTGGTACACATGAAAGATACAGTGTATACTGGTGTCCGATTTCTAACTATTATAGAAATCCATGATCAAGTAGAAATGAACAATTGCTTTTTTTGCACAAAGGTTTCTTAATTTTGTATTTTATATAAAGTATTTTGTTTAATTTGGTCACGGGCGTAAGACAAAAAGTATCATCCGACTCTATATCCTGTATAAACTAATACATTGTCTACTGCATGTAAAGCCAGGCACTTGTTGTACGCTACAACTTTTGTCATTTATGTCGAGCACGAGACAAAGAATATTTCAAACATGACACTTTCACCACTACCTCGAGAATGGGTCGTACGTATCTCTCGCTCTAAAGGCAAAATCTACTACTATCATCCACCATCAAATACAACACAATGGTCACGACCAAGAATGAACGAAATGACAGCAATCACAATGGAAAAGCAATCAATAACGCTTCAAGAAGAAGAAGAAGAAGACGAGGCGTTTGAACGAGTGAACAAGCGATTAAAACACGGTCCAGTTATTCCGTTCATATCAATTGTTAAGAAAACAGAAGATAACGAGGACGACAATGTCCTTCTTGCTTTGATTGTAGCTTCCATGCGTGTTGGAGGCAGTTCTATCAGTCGTGGCTTAAAGCGAGTCGATGTGTTTACACCGTGGCCGCATCAATTGACAGCAGTGGAAAACGTTCTTCGAGCTATTCAGACAAGAACATTAGAGAATAAGGAGCAAGGATTGATTAATACTGAGAGATATTTATTACAACACAGTACAGGTGCAGGTAAAACACTGACTATTGCAGCACTAACGCACCAATTGCTGCTTATCAAGGACGTGCGGTCGATCCAGTTCCATACAGTTGTGGTCATGCTGGATCGAGTCCAGCTGAATGAACAAGTGGGAGATGTAGTCAAGAGCTACTTGCATCGAAATGGTGTAGACGAAGTGTTTCGAGCTGAGAGCATGGAGCACTTGGCCAAGTTGCTGGATGTGACGGCGCAAACAAAGCAGCAGAGTCTGCAAAAAGTGATTATCACGACAACACATAAGATGGGGTTGTTGGTGAAAGATGAAGTCTTGCTGACGAGATTGCTGCACCGTAGTTCAAGAAAGACAGACAGCAGTGAAGGAGAGAACAATAACGAAGACGGTAAGTTTCAGCGGGTAGCTATCATCTCGGATGAAGCACACCGATCACACAAGTCGTCTACACGTAACGTCATCGAAAAAGTAGTAAAAGCAGGAGAAGGCAGGCACGCTCAGCTTACGGTAGGATTGAACACCATGTACTCAACTGGAGTTAATGTGTGGCCTATACTGACCTGGTGTACGAGTAGTTTATTGGTTTTACAGCAACGCCAAACGCCAACGCACTCGAGCTGTTTGGTTCCTCGACAAACGACGGATTTCGTCGTCCCTTTCATTGCTACCCAATCGCACAAGCTACAGCAGACGGCCGTGTCGTGGATACACTAAAGAATTACACGTGTGTACGCTGCAAGATTGAAACCTCCGTGTTTCCGATGCCTGTACAAGAATTGTTACGGTTGCATCGTGGCGCTCGACGCCATATCCTGAACTACGCAAATGATGATGTTGCCGTTTTAAAGGCTAAAACGTTGATTATGATGACGAATTTTCAAGCTGTGAAACGAAAACATTCGAAAGTGAAGTGCATGATTGTGGCGCGAAGTCGTCAAGACGTTGTGCGATATTACACGCTGATCACTACATTCATCACAAAGAAGAAGCTTGGATGGAAATGTTATGCTGCTTTCAGTGGCGTCGTGGCCTTAGACGGTGAAGACGGAGCTTCACACTCTGTGACAGAGCCAACTTTAAACAACCGGAGCGTCACACTAACTATTAGTGATGTCGTTATCGTTTGTGATAAACTAGACACGGGCTACAATGAGCCCTTACTCGCGTGCATGTACATTGATCGCTACTTGCGCTCCAGTACGCATACTGTTCAGCTCTTGAGTCGTCTCAATCGTCGTCACAAGAACAAGGTCAGTGTCCACATCCTGGACTTTGCAAACCATGCAGCACAGGTGCGACGGAGTTTCGCAGACTTCTGGCGAGAAGCGAGAGCTCCGGTGTCGACTGACAAACTTTATTTACTTGCTGAGCGGCAGGATCTAGCAACGTCTATCGTAGTTCTGTGCGACCACTTCCCAGAGCTTTTCTCTGCACCTACTGACATCGAGGATCCGAGCACTTTTGTCTCTGAACGTATAGTGCCGATGGAGCGCGACGCTTTTCAGCAAGTGATCGATGCGCTTCGCGGGGCTGTTTCATCTTTCAAAAGGCTAGAGCAAGCAGGATACTCGGACATTTTTGATTTGATATCTCCATTCAGGTACGTCCAGCGTTGGAAATGAATGTTATGGCAGTGTTTGATTATAATAGTTGTTTCATATGATGCAGCTACTATCTACTTTACGAGCTCAAGAAAGAGACAGAAAGCTATCTTGTCACCGTTGAGAAAGACGTCGAGTTGTCTCTTGATAATGTCAAAACTAAGATGTCGGCTCGACTTGAGACGTACAGCTGGTCCTTTTCAGGTGCTCTTTACCCACAATCGTTGTTGGTAAGTTGCCAGTCTGCACAAGTATTGTACCATCGGTTTGCTACTTTTGCTTTTACAACAGTGTCCTAACTCACACTTGCATGCATGTAGGACCGCTTGAAGTGTGGAAGCAACGTATCGAAGCTGATATCATGCTTACTACAATTCGGGGAGCTGGAACGGTTTGAAGCCCTTCTTCTGATGGATTCAGCTCGAAACAAACAGCAAATCGTTGACTCCTCAATCATAACTCAAATGACAAAGGTATCTAGCGAAGCATCAGACCTGGATGGATCAAGGAAACATTCAGCGGAAGATCAACCTGGCATTTTGGTGCACATAAGTGCATTGCAAAAGGGGCTTGCGGAAACTTGCAGTGAGTGATTATTTGGTTGACAAACTCTGAATCAGTCGATTTTGTCACCTACTGTGGCTACAGAGGAAGCAAGTTGAAGAAGATAGGAGTGATTGTCTGAGAAGGCATTTGTGCAGTACAGGCACATTACAGTCAGTCCTGTATTCAACTTCAAAAACAACAAGTTGTTTGTGAGTGGGTTCGAGTGCGGATTCCGTTGATCGAGTTTGTAATCCAGTTCTTATAAGTAGCAGTAATGATCAAGTCGTCAACTTCTTGGAACCCTTCTTTGACTGGGTACATATGGAATGGATACAGACTGATAAGAATATTCTATTGGTATCGCTATGAAGACATGTATGAACGACGGACACAGTGATGTCAAGAAGTGGACTGAAGACATTCGTGCTGAGTTTATTGCTAGGTGGTATTGATCGTCTCGATGTTGAACTGGCTGACGTTCACGAATTTGAAAGTGAGGCATTCGTAGAGTAAAGCAACGGTAATTGATGGTACTTAATAATGATCAACCTGCAACAAACTAAAGAACGTGAAGAAATGCAAGCGACGATATACACGACAAACGGATGCACCAAGATAGCTGAACTGTGCTCTACATACCGGAAACGGAACAAAAATTTGGCTTGTACTGACAACGATCGGACTTCTGATCCAACACCTTATCAAGAACTACACAGCAAATTCTAAAGCCAGGCAAAACAGCACCACCATCAAAATCTCTCCACGCAGTATTTTCAGGTGTTGCATGTATCATTTGTCGTCGAGGTGGTATATATACATCCGCTAATAGCCTAAGCATAAATTGATCAGAGAACTCAACTGAACACCACTGCTGGAAACATTCATTGGTTTCGATGGAGAAGGCTGCGTTAAGAACCTGGACGATATAATCGTAACGACATAGCACATAACCAGAAGGCTCGTCAATCTCAACAACGATCGTAGGAGTAACGCATTACGACTCGAACGCTCCGTCCACGTTGACTAACTTGACAACCTCTATGCACAATGCGAGGCATATACTAGATGCCCAGCAATTGAATTTCAGTGCCGGATATGAACGCCTTTTTTGGTAAGTGCTACGCTGCCTCCTTGTCCTGACCACTAAGACCATTTTGATCACAGATCCAGCATTGTAGCAATCTGTACTACCACTAACTGATTACATTTGCAACCATTCGATAGGAATGGAGCGACCTTCGTCGATGAAGACCGCCGGCTGCTTGCCTAAAAGGGGCTCACCAGTAGTCCGACCTTCTTCACATATTCATTCTACTTCTAGATCACCGGATGGTAAAGCTCGTCAATCTGATCATTTTCTGGTACCAATTATTACTCTCAACTCAATCGAGCTTCTTCACCAGCAGCTTCAGGCTATCTCTTTTCATTCGACCTGGTCGCAGCACAGCTTTTCCATCTCTTCGTGCGCCGACGCCGTACTCTCTTTGTCAGTCATCAACTGTGAATCCAACCGAACCTGCCAATGACGTCGCTTGCAATGCTGACATCATCTTAATACCCTCGTTGTCACTGGGCATCCACCTTCTTCTTGAGCTGATGCAAGCATCTGTTCTCGACGTTACATACTAGTCGAGTTGTTCCAGCATCAGCTGCACCACAAACGATACCCTGAGAAATGGCTTAGCACTGAAACTTAATAAAATATGTGGAGAGCAAACCATCAAAACACAAGTGTATACAGATTTGATACTGTATAAAATCTAGAAATGCTTAGCTTGTATATGTCTCAATTTCACAGCAAGTACTGTATACCACTTTTTAATTGACGAAGACGAAAAACGTCACAGTAGACGAAATGGCCAACACTTTGAGCTCGGGCTCGAGCGCTCCGCCCTTGAAGCCGTGGGAGAAACGACAACAATTAGCTGCTGCTCACTCAGGTTTGCCTCATCACTTTACGCACTTCTTCTTGTTTCTTGGTTGACTAACACTCTTTATATTATAGACGGCGACTTGCTGACGTCGAGTGGTGTCACTCATCATCAATCTGCAGTCTCCACGACAGCATCTCGAATAATTCCTAACAGCTCTGCAGTTCAATCTACTACCGGAATTTCAAATCCATTGGCGTCTACCTATGGAGATTCAGGAAATGGACCAACGGGATATGGAGCTACTGGGTATGGAGCTGCTAGGTACGGAGCTACTGGGTATGGAGCTACTGGGTACGGAGCTACTGGGTATGGAGCTGCTGGGTATGGAGCTGCTGGGTATGGAGCTGCTGGGTATGGAGCTGCTGGGTACGGTGCGGGATTGGGCTCGGCGTATGGGACCGGGTACGGCGGGATTGGAGGAGGTTATGGGGGCATGAACTCATATGGTGGACTTGGAGGGAATGGAGGTGGATATGGAGCGTACGGAGGAGGGTATGGAGGCATGCCTTCGAGAATGGGGTACGGTGGCATGGGCATAATGGATCCAAACACTGGAGATCTCGGCTGGCTTTCGAGCTTCAACCAGATTGTGAGCTCCATCAGCCAGGTTACGGAACTACTAGGAATGAACGCGGAAGCACTCAACTTTTGCATCGGTAAGGGCTACATGACTATGGCAGGTTTAAGTTGTTTGCTGATGAGATAACGAGTAAGTTGATGGACTGCAGGATCCTTTGTTCACTTTCTGGAGCGAATAGGAGCCATGTGCGCTGGTATTGCAACCATGTTGGCACCTCGCCCGGTCTTTCCACCCGGTCATCCACGACATGGCGAACCGCCAGTGACCGAAGAGGAAGAGAAGAGTCGGAAGCGCAGAGTGCGCATTTTCCAGTTTATGGTGAGTATGGCGGCACTCACGCTGCTATACAAAGGACTGCGGTGGCTTGCACGGCTTCGGCTTAAGACACATCGTAAGCTACTGGTTGCACCACCATCCGATGGCACTGGCCGAGATTTGGAGCAGATATTTCAGCGCATTGTGGGCGTCAGACGCGTCTAAGCAGGATATCAGGTTTTGTAGTTGTAGACGTCTACCTCTTGTTCAGCAGAGTTCAAGCAAGACACAGTAGTGTTCGGGTTGACTTATATATTGTCAAGTTCTTGGTTCGGTCGCGTGTGTACTTGTCTTTGTTTTCTTCGTGCTATCCGCCGGACTTAGCGCTACTTCGTCTCCGTCCGCCAGTGCCACGTCATCCCCCGAGTATTCAAGGTTGCGCGCAAGCGTAATGATCTCGATAGTGGAGGCGGGGTGCGGGGACTTGTCGACTAGCAGGTGCCACAGTGACGCCAATGTGGCATTGATCCCGTCTGGCAGCTGTGTCTTCTCCTCACGAAGACCGATCTCCTCTCGCGCCGACGCAAAGTACAGCACTTTGATCTCCATCACTGCGAGAAGAATGCGTTATGTGCAGTTGGTGCAAAGCACATGGAAGTTGTTTGGCCAAGTGATTTATAAGACGTGCAAGAAGGTAGTGGACCAAGTGGCTACTAGACGCGAGCCGTGGTGCTACTCATTGTGTAATATCGTCTTTGGCTGTATCGGCACAGAGTATTTGAGGCGTGCTGAAAGCAAAAGAATGGTTTGTATGAAGCTTCCAGCGACGACAGAAATGACGCGAGAATTGAGCAACGAGACGAGAGGAAGAACTAGCACAAAGTGGTGGTAAGGATAGTAGCGATGGAGGCTGAACGCTGAGCTGTAGAGATTGATATTGACGCAATGAGGTTATATGCTGGCTTCTTACTCTGTCATTGACAAGAACAGGAGAGACATTGGTTGCGATTTGTTTTTTATAAGCATTGGCAGTGCATGCTGCATGAGATGCAGTACGAATCGGGCTCATGTGCTGCATGTCTTGTGGCCGCAATCAGCTGGTGCTTGTCATGGACAATATGAATCTTGTTCAAATGAGCCACAAGAAGTTCTAAGATATCCCATAGGAGTGATGCTTTCGATTGATTGTATCTTTAACGTTGCACACTGTTCCATTCGCAGCTAACGGAGTGCACGAGATAACTGGAAGGAAATGTGTTGAATAGCATCGAGTGTATTCTACAAAGTTACTCATTGCTGCTTCTAGTCTACAAAAGGTACCGTGATCACTAGCAGTCGTCCAAGAAGACGTCGATTGGCATACTCACGTAAACAGACGTTAATCTTTTGTCCTTGTTGCAATGACAGTTGTTTCTAAAAACATCACCTCACATCAAGACAAGCAAAAATGATCGACAAGGAAAAAGATCAGCACGAAATTCTTACACAGCTGTGCACCGTTTAGGAAAGCAAAAAGACGTTGTACAATCCATCTTAAGGACAAATTCTAAAGTTGAGATCGAGAAGTAGAATGATTATGTAAAGAAGGTCGGACTACTGGTGAGCTCCATTTTGGCAAGCAGCCGGCGATCTTCATCGACGAAGGTCGATCCATTCCTATCAAATGGTTGCAAATGTAATCAGGTAGTGATAGTACAGATTGCTAGAATGATGAATCTGTGATCAAAGTGGTCAAGGCGAGGAGGCAGCGTAGCACATACCAAAGGAGCGTTTATATTCGGCACTGAAGTTCAATTGCTGGGCATCTAGTATATGCCTCGCATTGTGCATAGAAGTTGTCAAATTGGTCAACGTGGACATAGCATGCGAGCCGTGATGTGTTGCTATTACGATTGTTGTTGAGATTGATAAGCTTTCTGGTCCAGGTTCTCAATGCAGCACTCTTCATCGAAAGATGCGCAATGAATGATTACAGCATGGCGTTCAGTTGGGCTGACAGATCGATTCGCGCCCAGGCTTCCAGCGGATGTATGATAACCACCTCAACGACAGTGGAGACGTCCAGTAGGCCGTAGGTTTAGAATCCAGTAAATGCTAAAGAGTGAAACGAAATAGGTATTGAATGTTTATCAGTCTTGTTACATTCCTAGTTCCTCATTACATGCAACCGACATGTTGCTAGCATCTGACTCATATTACCTCCACCATCATTAGCCACCAATAGTGGAGCTTACTGAGAGAATGATTGGGCTCCATCTTGTGAAGCCCACTTTTGCGGCCGACCTGGTTTTTCGGTGGTAACTGTTTTACAGAAGACTCAGTATTAGTGATTGCATGTAGACGAGTTATGTCGCGCAGCATAGTTGGCCCAGTCAGGTACAATACCTTTTGAATGGGCAATTGGTGGGTAGTGGTAGATAGCAGTGGACATGTGAAGATTGCTAGGACGGCTTCACACGCCAATCATCAACTGGCCATACATTTTATTTGCTGGAGTGAGCGGTAGCGTGCAGTTTTGCCACGAATGTTGCAGCTATGAGTTTTATGAGATACCCTACTCGTCCAGGCTCTGGTTATTGCGAAAGACATGGCAAGAAGACATGGCTATAACAGTGCAAAATCAACTAGCAACAGCCATACACTCATCGCAAGTATGGTTAAAACATGCCACGCGCTCTATTCAGCCGCTGCCGGCAGTGTCAAACGAATGTGCGGACATAGTCGTTACTGGCTTCCTCTACCTGTCAGCTATGTTTCGCACTGCGTATTCCAACGCCACTCATACTGCTGTAAAGCATTGGCAAAGTGCACGAGTGCGGCAGCCACGACGCAAATATGCCAGAGCTGGTGGCTCGAGAACCACAAGTCGAAGCGGCCAGGGTAAAAGCGCTCTGGAAACTTGGTAGCGTAGATGATGGCGCCGCTCGTGTACAGCAACCCCATCAGCAGCAGCGGGCCAATCATTACCGTCACGTGAGGGTCGAAGAACCCAAAGTGCCCCACCAGATGCGTCACGGGGACGAAGCCGAAAAAGCCCAATGACAAGAAGATGCACGTACGTGCCACGAGGAACCTGGGAGTGCTAAAGACTGGCATGAGCGCAACAATGAAGGTAAGCGCTGCCATAGCAGAGATGGAGACGAGATAGGCGCTGCGCAGCCACTCGTGACAGTAGAATGAGTAGTAAATCATGGGATAGAAGGATCCTGCAATGAGAATCGTGATCCCAGCGTAATCCAATCGCGACAGGAACGTGAACGCCGAGCGACTCACCACAAACATCAGGTGGAAGACGGCGCTGCACGTGAGGCAAATCACTGCACTGGCCATGAAAACGAAAATCGGCCAGCGCGGGACATCGTGGGGACCCTCCGCGGTCGATAATATATGCAGACCGTTGCGTATACTGCCAGCCACGCCGTGTAACTCCTCCAGTACGTACTTCATGGGCAAATCCGCCCCTACTTGGCTGGCAACGTCCTGCAGGAACATAGAGAGCGACTCCACGCGCTGGTCTAGCTGTTCCTTGAGTGACCGCACTTGCTCCGAATGAGCATCTCGCACATGTCCTCCAAGCCGCGACGACAACGCGCTCAATTCGCTACGTAGCTGCTCCACCTGCGCTCCAACGGATTCCGAAAAACCACCAACATTTTGCTCCACAAGCGCATGGAATCGGTCTAGACTAGGCAATCGCTGCAAGCTGTGGTTAAAGATAACACTTGCTACTTCATAGTATTTGGCAGGAGCGACGCAGCCCATGGGCGGAGGACAGAGCTCTGGCACACTCGCAGCTAGTAACATCCGTGGTGTATGCCGGCCTTCCTTCATCCATTGCTGATCACTCTGGCACCAGGATTGCGGTGTCATGAGGTCCGTCATGTCCACCACAGGCGACAGGGCGTCACCAGATAGTGCAAGATAAAACATGAGCATGAGAAAGATGAAAGAACCGACCATATGCGTCCACACGTTTAATGTCTCATTATGCAGCTCAAAGAGAGATAAGAAACAGTCACGGACTGAATAATGTAAGCGATAACCTGATCGAATGTACGAATTATCAGCTAAATAAGCAAAACCCTCAGCATGTAGACGTTCAAACGTGTGTAATTTCACAACACTTTCATTCGAAGTCACTACCACATCCTGACTGGTTAAACCTTGTGGCTGAGTCGACATCTGAGTCTTCGTCTGAAGCCGCTTGGTAACTGTAGTACGTAGTAGCATCTGATGACCTGTTTCCATTCTGAGCTCGTTGGACGTTATAGATAATAAGTGAGAATGTTTGTAAACGTTACTCGGACTTGGTAATGGGTTTTAGCCAATGATAAAAGAGAATAAAGGGTGGGATGGTAAAATGCGACATTGGATGTATTATTCCTATGATTTAATGGTAAAATTACGGAACGTTTGTTTCTTGCTCAAGTCGTAGCTATTTAAATAAAACCGATTGAACTTGCAACCCATCACTGGAGTAAAACCTTGCGACCAGAGAGACCCAGCTTGAGATGGGTTTATTCGTTTCAACATGTATCGGCATTAGAAAGAGGCATATGACGACATGTCGAATGATGTTGATCAAATGTCAGAGAGAGATGTTTATGTGAAGGATGTGGTCGTTCTCACATTTGGCGACTAAAGGATGTGGTCGTTCGCACATTTGGCGACTAAGGAAGAAACTTTTGCATGCATTCAATGAGCAGAGATCATATCTTCCAAACACACTGCTTGACCTTAAAGATGGAAGCGATACGGGCTTTGCAGCTTTACCTACAAGTACACGGTCAAGATATAGTGGAGATAAATTGAATTTGTATCATGATGGGATCACGCTCGTTCGACCGTTGGCTACATTAGTCACATAAGCGGTTGTCTGACACTTTGCTATTGTAATCGACAGCATCTGTTTTGATGGTGACGTACTTGCAGCAAAAAAGTCTGTCGATTGTAACATGATTTAACAATGCTCAAGAATAGAGCTACACAAGTTTGTCGAACAAAACAAGTCCAATATTTAGTGATGATAAGTGTCATTTCGTGATTCCTTGTCTCATGTTCTCGCATAACATCGCTACTCTCTCGCGCAGCTGCGATGGTCACAGACGGTGCCACGTCCTTGCACTGCACCTGAACTGCAACTGACGATCTCGATGCCGGAAATGGCGTTGTCGAAGATGACAAACACAATCTTGTCCAGATCCAGCCTACCAAGATGGTCCCGCCTTGGCATATGTTTGAATTATCAGCTGGGGTTTCTTGCGTTGTCTACTGTGAGAATAAAGTTTATGCTATATACGAAGCGACTGTATGTATGCCTGTGCACTATTGATTAGCCTAGTGCTCATTCATATCTTGCATGATGAGGAAAAGAGGCAAGAACCAACTAATCCACGTAAAACCTAGAGGCTTGACCCTGTCGTCTCTCTCTTCTTTTGGTCAAGCAAATATTATTGAAAGGACCGACTGTAATGGCATTATCAGAATGATTAGTCAGCTTTGTAAAGCATTTTGATTGGCTATAGATTCTACCGGTATCCTACCAGGAAATACTGCTTGAATTTCGTCCAATTGTTCGTGACATCGTTCGAATATCGTAATATATGATTGTTACTTCAGGGGGAAAAGGAGATACGAGAGAAATCAGTCGAATAAAAAACCCACGAGAAGCATGAGTCATGACGCGGTCAAGCCGCTGCAGAGTCTATTGGATGCGTTTGGTGCACGTCTGACACATCTAGAGGCAAAATTAGGTGTCGATCAAGTGCTCACACCACCCGTTCATGTTGCCACCAGTGCCACCCCATCCACTACCGTCCACGTGGATTTAGCACCACAGCTAAAGGCGTACGACGAGTATGTAGCTCGATACCTTCCGCCCTTCTTGGATATGAGCAACAAACTTGGTGAAGATACACACAAGCTTGCTATGGTGACAGAGAAGGCGTTTGCAGCCCAGCGTGCGTACCTACTAATGGCGAGTCAGTGTAAGAAGCCCGGAACGCTCAATCCAGAACACTTGAAAGACTTGCAGGCTTGTATTAAGGAGATTAACGCTCTGCGTGATAATCGCAGCGAATTTTCCAATCATCAAAACATGGTTAATGAGGGTATTCAAGCGCTCGGCTGGCTCTGCGTAGAGCCCGCCCCCAAGCCTTTTATTGAATCGTACGTGGGTGGCTCTGACTTTTGGGGCAATAAAATCCGTGTACAATTCAAGACGTCGAACTCCGATCAGATTGCATTCGTCACGTCGTTTAAAAGTCTGCTGACCGAGCTCATGGCCTACGTCAAGGCACATCACACTACGGGCGTCACGTGGAACCCCAAAGGTGGCGACGTCGCAAACTACGTACCCACTGCAACTGCCTCAAGTACAAAGACTGCCACATCTACAGGTGGTCTAGCGAACGTGTTTGCTGGTATTAAGGCTATTGACCAGAGCAGCGGCAAAACTGCGGGGCTCAAAAAGGTCACTAAGGACATGCAAACCCGGCGTAAGGACTACAAGTCGGACAGTGATCCACTTGTGCATTCTGTTCCTGTCGCCGCCAAGAAGCCGGTCGCCTCTGTCAAGGTTACGAAGCCTGCCGTCTGCGAGGAACGCAATGGCAACTGGCAGATCGAGTATCAGACTGGCCCCGAGACGCTTACCGTGAACGGCATCACCATGAAGCAGCAAGTGTATGTCTTTGGCTGTGAGGGTGCCACCATCCTGCTGGAAGGAAAAGCCAAGAATATCGTAATGGACTCGTGCAAAAAGACCAAGCTCATTTTCGACAACGCCGTGTCGAGTATTGAGATCGTCAACTGCAAGGGTGTGCAGGTACAGTGCAAGGGCGTAGTGCCGTCCGTGGCCATCGACAAGACGGATGGCTGCCTCGTGTACATCTCGTGGGAGGGTCGCGAGGTGCAGTTTGTCACGTCTAAGAGCTCGGAGATGAACGTGGCGTTTCCGCAAGGCGCAGGTAGCGACGATTATGTGGAGAAGCCGATTCCGGAGCAGTTCGTGCACAAGATCACGGATAAGTTGACCATCTCGTCCGATGTCTCGGACTTGTACTCGCACTAGATCTAGCCAAGGCGCCGCACTGCAGCCCTTGGAACCCGCGCTTAGGTGAAGCGGTATGGCATAAGGTGCGTACATCATGGATTGATATTCTTTCGCTTCCAGAGGCCTCTGTGAGCTGCATTTTTTTTCATTTTGCTGTTGAAGAACGAATTAAGATTTGTTTTTTGCCGCGTCGTTTTGTAAAGTTGGGGGCATAATATCATAGTTCTTTATGTTGGGCAGGCATGGATAAGGCATTGACGTGGTGATGCAACCACAACAGATTGTGGCCGAGAGGCAGCCAGGTCCAAGATAATATTCCAAGCTTTACGATATTGATCTCACTGAGGCATATCGACGCCCTGCTTGCGACAGAGCGCATTGAGCACCGACAAAGCATATTCAATGTAGATGACAACTCTGAACCAGCATATGGTAAACTTGTACTTTGCTCAACTTCAGTAGTGACGACGCGTGCTTTCTTCTGTAACCTGCTGCCTTCTTACAGCTAGAAGCCGCAAACGCACACCGTGAGTAAACTTCCCACGATCGGGTAATGTACAAAATTAAATTGCCCGGGTGACTATGCGCCGACCGTGCTCCGCTTATCCGTCATTGTTGACGCCGTCGTGGAACTAGAGAAAGCTGTTACCAATTTGTAGCTCAATATCAAACACGAATGGAGCGAGCCTAGCAAAAACAACAAAAGCAATAAGGGGGGGGAGCTGTGGTGACCAGTCCGTTCCAGTAGGGCTTCGTGAAGAAGACCTAGGTGAGCAATTGACACAATTTGATCTTGAATATACAAGCGTTTGCTTATATTTGTACCATTCGGGACTGTTGTGTCTGCTCTACTGTCCCCTAGACCATCATGCTCTCTTCGAATTTACGCAGTTGAGGTGTCCTCAATTTCCGCTGTCTTGGTTCACCTGGCTGCGTCAAAGTCGAACTGAGCTGTACACGCACGCACTTTCCGACCAAGCCTGCCGGCAAGTTGCAGTGGAGTAAGTGCGCACACTCTCTTACATCGCTACCTATTGTCACCTTGTTATCCTTGTTTGTACACCTGGACACTTAGCCCGACATGATGCCCTTGATCGTGTTGAAGTCAACTTCTTTAAGCGAGTTAATTGTGCCGTTCAGGATGATAAACGAGCCCACAATCTGCGAAGTACGCACCGTCAGACCCTTCGGGAACAGCAGTGCCATCGCAGTGGCCACCATGTATCGCTGACGAGGAGACACCGTTGTAGGCACGCGCACCTCCGCACGCCGAATGAAATCGTCCATATGCTCGCCGTAGCTCTTCTGCGGGTGCATCAGCTTCATCGTGGACAAATTGTGCGGCACGTGGGAGAGATAACCACATACGACACCAGCCATCATACTACCAAACGCGTTGTTCATTGCGGGGCTCGACGTTACAGACAAACGCTCTTCGAAGTAGTCCGATAGCTGGTTCAGTCCAACACCAAAAATCACCTCACGGAGCATACGTGGCGCTGTACCACGAATCCAACGCGTCGATAACGACTCTGGGTTCATGTGACCAGCGTTAAAGGCTTCCAACATACTACTCACGGGCGTCATGATGACACCCGGAGCCACAGCCTCCGTGAGACGCACTAACAGTGGGTACTCATAGCTGTCCGCGTTCACGTTCTTTTCCAGCAGGTGACGAATACCCTTGAAGCCGTTGATATACACAACACGCGTAGGAATTTGCAGGTGCATTTCTGGAAACAGTTTAGCCACAGGTTGACCCGTGAGTCGGGCGTTCAGCAGCGAGTTCATGCCACTACGGTAAAACGACTCGATGGAGGCAGCCACGGATGTGGCAAAGTATGGCGTAGGTTTGGCGTGCTGCTCGAACAGCGGAGTCTGCAGCAAAGAGGCCTGTCGCCGAATCTCCTTGCTCAAGCTGTGCATTACCTCGCGCGAGGCTGTCTTATCCTCAAGCACTTCATCCAGCGCCGCACTCTGTAGCGTGAAGCCCGATACAGGCGTAAGACAGCGCACCGTCACGGCTGCAGGATCCCGCACTAGTGCATGGTTGGAATTCACAGCACCACTAGTCATCACTTCCAGCGTGTGCTCTTGGCCCTCAATAATCTTTGTGGACTCTACACTGCCGGTCTTGAGCAACAGCATCTCCGTCTGCGTATCGCCCTGGTGATACACGACAGCATTCTTGGGATACGTCACGGCCTTGGCACGTTCACAAATCTTCCGCAGCGTCGGCTCCGAGCACAGTGCAAACATGCCTGAGTTGGAGGCGGCTTGTACACAGTCATCCATAGTAAAAGTAAGAGAAGAAGACAATCTGGTCCGTTCGATCCGGAGCTAAAGCGTCAATGAACTGCTTAAGAGCGGGCACTGGAATTGTTTACAGTGGATCAATCTCAAAACTCGGTAACGAATTTGAAAGGGACACGCACAAGTTTTACACTCTTGTAATTGAATATTCGAAATGAAGATGTGTTTTTGTATTAAACTCAAATTTGATGACACTAAATTTAAAAGGGTATGTAATTACAAAGAGCCAGGTGTTCGAAAAAGACTTTCAAGTGATCGCAGCATTGCGACTTTTAACACGATGAAAGCTTGAAGGCTTTGTTCGATACGATTCTACGTAAGCTGTGCTACAATCCCACGACAATGCGTGATTATTTTGTGTTTACGTCAAGACCAAGTGATATTAGTACTGGAAGCCAGCAGTGGACGCATTCACGAGTTTTTTCTCGGCTCCGTGTCTTACGTAAAGACCAAGTCATCCCTCTGTAGAAACATCGAGTTCAAAAGCTATGCCACAGCAGCAGCGATTTGGCAAAGAAGCAACGGCGACAAACACGTGGACATTATCACCTTCAAGCTCTGATCAGTGCTACAGCCGCTGGCGATATGCTCTTTTGTTTTGCAGTGCCTCGTGGTGAGACTCTGCGCTTCTCGATCCAGTTGGTGCAAGTAGGTTTCAACGGCGGGGCCCGCCTTTGTCTTTTTCCAATGCTTGCGTATGCTACGACAACCAGACACTTGCTAATCGAAGATCAAAACCTTTAATCGTCGGTAGAAAGACGACGAGACTCTTGGGCTCTGCTATCATTGGATCGAGACCACCATATGCCATCCATCGACAATCAAGCGACATTGCAGAACATCTCTTCATCTTTGCATCTTCCAATCAAGTCTTTCCACTGTCATCGGGCAAAAAAAGAAGTAATGGAGCTGGATCTTGAACCATCACTTGACACCTTTCAAGGCCACCTTTTAGCTATCATGAATTGAACCTTTACCATCAGTGGTAGTAAAATCAAGCGTATCATTTTACCATTCTTCTAGACTGGTAAAATAAACAGCTTAGGCATTCTTCTTTTAAAGTGACCTTCTTAATGTTTTCCTTGTCATTACTTTGGTCAACATGTTCAAATTCATGCTGATGAATCAACCAATGTCGTGTCGTTGTACCATATAATGCTACTTCAGTGTACGCTCTGGACGCTGGCTCAATAAGCAACGTAAGTATCGGAAACACAATTTGCACTTGCAAATCTTCTGCTTAGGAGGGACTGTCGCGCAGCTGCAATTTGCGGTACGAGTTGTATGGTGTGGAAGCAATTGCGATGAGCTGTATGACTCTGTTGGTGATGTTGAAGCGTCTCCACACACGAACAGAAACGGTACAACGAGATTGTAATGTAACGATGGTTACCGACCCATTGTTAATAAATTACATTGTAACCTAATGACCCAGCTAACATTAATTCAATATTCATAATTACTTGCTTCTAGCGTGTAAGGCTTTGACACCCTTGGCCATCCTTATAACTCGCTAGACCCAAACAGCTTCAGCAGAGATAAGAAGAGAGCTAGGTAAAAATTATGATAATCTGTAGCCGAGCTACTGTAGCTACGCTACTTATGCACTATGTGCAGAGAAAGGCAAGCTCAGAGAGCTTCTACGTCTTAAATTGCTTAATCCTAGGCTAGCTCGTAAGCTTGTACCTATCGGTTGTTATTGTAACCGCGTCTCAAAGAGACTAGTATCAAAGATACTTAATTCCTCAGGAGGAATAGTACGCTCAAGCAGTGATGCTTGTAGAGCAGGTTTGAAACTGATTTATATTTATGTTTATCTTCTAACACTAAATATAGAAGCACCTATCCTATATCTAGTGCTAGTTACTATTACTGGCTCTATAGCCTTTTATTATTATGCAAATATGCATAGTCACTATACTTTAAATAAGTATAGTGACCACGTGGCTCTCTGCCATGATGTAATGCGACCCTTCGTACGTTAGGTACGGTCACATCATATTTTACCAAGTCACCATTGGGGCAGGTGTGTATGTAAAATACACACCTTCGTGTAACCCCGTTACACCCTCCCCCACCAATACGTGGGACCCGACGTACCCACGATTTTTCGAAATTATTGGGAGGTATCGATTTCATTTTCTTCTCATTTGGCTTGCCTCGCAATAAGTGCTTGCACTTGCGTCTAAAGCTCCTGTGATTTTAACACTTGCTCTTTGAGCACCCGTGCATTGCACACACGCTTTATAAGCATCCTGGTGTTACGACACTCGCTCTTTGAGCATATAGTGCATCGCACTCACGCTAAAGCATTAAGTGTTACGACACTTGCTTATAAGCCTTAAGTGCCAAGCACTTGGTATTATTAATACCTTTTGTGTGTTCACGAACGCTTGCTTTCACACCACAAGGCGCCTAGCACTTGCTTTTAAGCAAAACCGTGTTCACAACACTTGCTTTTAATCATTACAGTGTTCACAACACTTGCTTTAAGCATTTGAGCATATAAGTGTGTAACACTTGCTCACAAAGCGTGATGTTAACACTAGCTCATAATGCACATTAGGGTCAAACACTAGCTTATAATGCACATTAGTATCGAACACTAGCTACAATGCATATTAGTGTCTAGCACGAGCTTATAAAGCACCCAAGAGTTCAACACTTGCTTATAAAGCACATTTTTGCTTCACTTTAGCGTATGAGCACCATAGCATCTAACAGTAGCTTATAAAGCACTTGCGTTTGAGCCGCTAAAGCGCAAACTTTGGTTAGAACGTCGTCTACGTGTTTAACTTTGCTTATCAAGCAGCGAAACGTACAATTACCTTCCACATACAGTCAAAGACTTGTGGTAAGGACAAGCTTCTAAAGCTGCCCGTACCTTCTCGGATGTACCAGCATTTGCTTCTCTGAAGGCAGAGGCGAACTCACCACCTACTGATCCTGCTTCCACAGCACCTAGTGCTAGGAAGCGTCCGACGACAGCTGTCGTCGCTTCTGACCGTCCTGGTCAAAAGCGTCAAGTCCGGCGTCAGGGCAATCTTGCCGAGGGGTACCTCATACTCCCACGAGTCATACGACTGGGGGTAACCCCTCCACTTCACCAAGTATTGGGTATGACCCTGGTGACGACGCCGAGCCAAGAGCGTTCCACGTGGAACTGTTGATGACCCTGGTCATCAATCAACGTCGGAGGAGGTTGATGACCCATTGACCTCTCATCTCTCTGAGATTGAGCGTCGCCTGACGCTCCTGGAGCGTGAGCCCTTGCATCGGTGAGGTCTCACCCTGTATCGCTCGATGACCGTGTCGATCGACACCGTCGGTCTTTTGAGCGTTATCGCTCTGAGACCTTGGATCGCTTAACGTCGATTGAGCGTTCTCGAGCCGAACTGCGATGTCAGATCGACCTCCTGGTACGCCTTAGCGTCCATATGCACCTCCGGTGCCGTACTTACCCGCCTCCTTCGGCCGGGGATTTGGGGACAACCCCTCGAAGTCCACCGAGGCAGGGTTGAGGTATGGCTTTAGTAAGCCCACGTAGAACACAGGATGTGTTCTCATCTTCTTCGGAAGGTTCAGCGTATAGGCTAAACCTTTCTTGCTTATGACCTTGAAAGGTCCAATAAAGCGTGGACGCAGTTTGGTTTTATATACCGCAGACACTGCACGTGTCGGTAAATTCCTAGCGTTTAATAAAACCAAATCTCCCACTTTTTGAACTCATGTTCGTTTTTCCTGCCTTTGGCATCTGCTTGTTCCTTCTGAACATCCTGGCTTTCAGCCATAGCGTCTTTGACGCGACGTAATACGTCAAAACGCGTTGACAGAAACGCTTCCACCTTCTTGCGCATCGCAACAGGGCTGATATCAGCCAAGCCTTCGGCTATCTCTCCCCCACTAAGCCCTGAAGTGGCAGGGGGTAGCGTTAAAGGAACGCGAGGGTTAGCCAATCCATTCACATAGAATGGGGTGAAGCCTGTCGAGGCATGCACCGCGTTATTTAACGCAAACTCTATGAGATGGGAGCATCGTGCTCCATTGCTCGGGTGTTTCAGCACAAACACTGCGAAGCAATATCGCCAATAACGCGGTTGACGCGTTCAGTCTGACCATCGGTCTGCGGATGATCCGCCGTGGACATGTCCAGTCGAGTGCCGAGCACTTTAAAGACGGACGTCCAAAACTTACCCGTAAAACGGGGGTCTCTATCCGAGACGATTGCCACAGGCAATCCGTGTTGTCGAAACACACGATCCATAAACAGCTTTGCTGTTCCTTCTCCATCAATGGAGTCCGGCACGGCCGCTAGATGAGCCATCTTGCTCAGTCGGTCAACAAAGACCACAATCCCAGTGTTGCCTGCCGCATCACGCGGTAGGCCAAACACAAAGTCCATACTAATGGACTGCCACAACCCCGAGGGTACAGGCAAACTCGCCAAAGGCGCAGCCATATTAGGCGAGGGTTTCACCCTTTGACACGTTTCACACGTGCGTACATAGGTGCCAACCCATTTGTACAACTTGGGCCACCAATAATGTGTGCTCACCGAGCTGTAGGTCTTCTCACGACCTAAATGACCATCAAGTGGTGTATCATGAGCCTCATAAAGTATCTCATACTTGAAGTCCTCATCATGAGGCACCACAACTCGAGGCTGGTCATCCGACCCCGTACTATAGTACAACAGACCATTGGTCAGTGCATAACGATGTAATCTAGCACGATTACGGGGTGACAACTTCGCCTGGAATGTTTTCAAACTCTGCGCTACCCAGAGCCTGCAGAATGGCAACACATGCCTCATCGCGTGCATACGCCACACGGATACGATCCGTTACTGACGAACTCACAACAGTGAGATGAGCAAGCTCATGGTCAGGTCTACGCGATAACGCGTTAGCCAAAACATTCTGTCTTCCCGGCTTATACTTCACCTCGAAGTTATACTCCGCGAAAAAGGAGAGCCAACGAGC